CGCTCGAGCCAAAGCCCTGTCAGCCCCGACCCCTGCCCCTCCCCCACCCTTCATGCGTCAGCTTCCACACACACCCCCCGGCCCAGTCGGCAGGAGCGTCGTCCTAGATGCCAAAAGGTTGGGGGTTCGATGCGGGGTTGGGGCCCGTGTGGGCGACCACTGGTCGATGTTTCTCTCTCATATCAATGTTTCTCTCTCTCTCCCTTCCTCTCTCAAAAGAGAGGCAGACCCCCAGCGTCTGGCCAGGTGTTTGCCCCCTCACGGCCCTCGGCCCGGCCACCATCGTCCTCGGCTGGAGGACCGCAGCAGCCCCCGGGGCCCTCACCCTCGGGGGACTCGTGGGCCCTGCAGCGGGGGGGCCCTGCCAGGCTCTGTCAGCACCGTCCTGGGCCCCCTCCCAGCCTCCTTCCCACGGCAGGGGGAGTGCAGCTGCCCCCCAGCCTGAGCTCCGGCACGGCTCCCCCACTGGAAAGGACCCGCACACAGTGCGCCGTCGGCGCCCCGGGTTCTGTCCCCAGCCCGTGGGGCCCCCTGCGGGGGGCCCCTGCCTCTCCCCGGGGGGAGACGCAGAAGAGGGGGGCACACGGACGTGCTCGCTCCTCCTCCTCCACTCTCCAGCGGGCTCCCGGCCTCAGGCGTCACCTCTGCAGGGGGCGGCGGTTGACTAGGGCGTGACCCGCGTCCTCATTCCTTCAGGGCTGAGCCCTGCTTACTGCTCCTTCTCAGGCTGGGGGTGACGCACAGTCCTGTCATGGCGTCGGTGGCTCAGGGACACCACGGCCCCAAAGTCCACTGTTGGGCCCCAGCCTCGCCTCCTCCTGCGGGTGGGGGCCATCAGAGAGCCTGGCTCCCCTGCCCACAGCTCCCGGCCCGAGGGGCCGCACGGCCTGCCCAGGAGGCAGCCGCAGCTAGTGTGTCGAGGCCCCTCCCGTGGGCCCTCGGGGCAGGGACCTCTAACCCCGCAGAGCCCAGAGGTTCGAGGCACAATTTCCCCAGTGGGTCGCTGGCAGGGGGCCCGTGGGGCCAGGCCAGCTACTGTCCCGGCCCTGGGAGCTTGGGCTCTTCTTGCTGGGCAGTGCTGGGTGTCTGGCTGCACCCCTAGGGTGGCGCCAGATCCGCCGCTGGGCCCCCCGGGAGGCCCTTCCTGGGTCCCTGAAGCGAGCTGCTCCAGGAGCAGGTGGCAGCCACATGACCGGTGTGTCCTCGTCTGGGAAGCAGGCCCCGGGATGCGTGGGAACCCACACCTGTGGACCAGGCCGCCGCGAGCCCCCGAAGGCAGTGCAGCCTCCATGGGCGGGGCGGGGAGGGCCGCCCACACCTGAGCAGGTATGTGAGGGCTGTCCAGCGCGGCAGGGCCTAGTGTGGCCGCCTCGCCACCAGGTGGCGACTGCTTCTCCCAGAAAAGGTGTCACACCGGGGCTCAGCGGCGTCTCAGTGGCCGGTGGGGTGAACGTCCAGAGGTGGCAGGAGCCCGAGCAACCCAGGCAGGTGGGAGTCCGCCCTCCTGGCGCAAGTTCTGGGGGCCTGTGCCAGGGCCTGCTCAGCCGCCTGTCCCCTGCGGGTGCTTCCTGGCGGGTGCTGGCGTGTGGCACAAGGGTCTCTGCACTGGGGCCCGCTGTTGCACGTCTGTCTGCAGGGCTGCAGCGCCTTGTCTCCGCCAGGCCCTGACCGGCCCTCGGGGACCTTGGCCACTGCCCCCGAAGCCGGAGCTGTGCTCGCCCGGGCGGCTGCCCTGCCCACACAAGGTGCAGGGCCCGGAGCCTGCAGTCCCGCCCACTGGGAGGAGGCGCCCCCTCCGCTCCAGCTCAGCAGCAGATGCCAGAGGCCTCGCCACCAGGGGCTGTTGGCGACCTGCGCCCACGGGGCAGGCTCCCCTGAAGGGGGGCGCGCAGCACACCCGGCCCCAGGGCCCGCGCCCTCCGTGCCCGGCCTTGCGGCCCCCCCCTCCCCGCCAGCACCTGGCACCTGCACACACGTCCCTAGGACTGTGTGCACCCTGCTCTTCCCTGGCGACGGCAGGGTGCCCGATGGCGCGCTCCGTGGGACCCGTGGACGGACAAGTGGCAGCCAGCCCACCCGTGGGCGAGCCAGCTCCTGGGGATGGCTGCGTGCTCGGTTTTGCAGACCGGCGAGGGTCTGCGTGTGAGCGGGGCCTCCTCGTTGGACTGGGCGTATCGGCCCCAGATGCCGACTGCTTCAGCGACGGCCAGGCCAGAGCCCCAGGCCGCTCCCTCGGTGCGGGGTCCGGGAGCCCGTGAGTGGGGGCCTGCCCTCTTCCCCGGCCTCAGCCAGCCTTTCCCGGGGTCCCTGCCACCCTGGGCCTGGGCTTGTTGGGACAGAGCCTCCCCAGGGCAAGATGCCCTTTGGACAGCCACACGGGACCTGCCTTATCCACCCTGAAACCCCGTGGCTGGGTGGGCCCCCCCCCGGCAGGACACTAGGCCTCAAGGGGTGGCGCGCTGGCTGTCCTCAAGGCTTGGCCAGGGCTGTGGCCATTAAGAGGGGGTGCTGGCCTCGTGTGGCCTCGGGGAGCAGTGTCCAGCTCTGCACAGGGCCCCCGGGTCCCACCCCCCTCCCAGGGTGATCAGAGTAGACTAGCGAGGCCATGCAGGTAAGTGCCAAGAGGGGGCGCACACCCCCGGGGCTGGCCCGGCCCTTTCCTGAAGGGCTCGTTCCTGAGAGGCTGGGGAGCTGCCCCCACCTCTCTGCCGTGTCCCCAGGGCCTGGGGCCTACGGAGCCCGGCCCCCACCCCAGCCGCAGGGGGGGGGGTGCGAGACCACCAGGGAAAGCCCCAGAATGCAGGGGGCCCCAGGGTCACCAAGACTTTAAGGCGCCACCGCCGCACAGGCACCCCCTTTACTCGGCCCTCCACCCCAGACAGCGAGCCACACACACTTCCCAAGGTGGGGCGCTGAGCCTGGGGGGGGGCAGCCAGGAGCGCGAGAGCCAAAGCTCCCCTCAGTCCACGTTCAAAGCCCTCTCCTGAGGCCAGCACGGGGGAACAGGATGGCCGGGAGGAGCCGGGGCTGGTGGGGTCCCCCTGCAGGGAATGGGGGTGCCAGTGAGCCGACCCAGGTCCAGGGGCTCAGGGAGGCTTTGACACCAGGAGCCATGGGTCCGGCCACCCTCGAGGACGGCGCACAGACTCTTCACCTTGGCCTGAGGGGGGCCGGCCCGGGCGCAGCACCGCCTGCCCATCACATCGCAGGGCGGGTGCTGACAGGAGGGCCGCAGCCAGGCCCTCCGAGGGGCCGGGAGAGAGCACCGTGGCTCCCAGCTGTCCCCCGGCACAGGCTGCAAGGAGCGATGGCCTAGTGGGCCCCCTTATGCTGTGGGTCTGGGGTCTCCTCCCTGCGACCAGCCCAGCCCCCCACTCCCCAAAGTTTCTGAAGCGCATCTTGGGGCTGGAAAGAGGGGTGGGCCCGCAGGGTCCGCAGGCTGCGTGAGGACAGGAGCGCCGGGGCGCGGTGAGCCGGCGTGAGCCGGCGCCCCGGGGGCCGCCTGCAGCCCCTGCCCCCGACCCGCGGTCGCCGCCCCATGCGCAGGCGCGCGCGCCCGTGGCGCCTCTCAGGCCTCCGCGGCCGGGCGACTGGCCCGGGCGGGCGTGGGCGATGCCGGCTTTCCTCCCCTCCGACACCGGCCCCTTCGCTGTCGCTGCCTGATGGGCGCGTGTCTCCCGGCCGTTCTGGAGCCCCAGCCTGACGCCGAGTGGCTGTTTCCCTGGGCTGTGGGTGTCTGTGTGTGTCTGTGTGTGGGCGTGTCTGTCTGTCTGGCTGAGTCTGCAGCCGACTCTGTCCTTGACCCCGACTGTCTGAACGTGCCGGGGGGAGGAGCGCTGCCTTCCTTCGCTTCTCCTCCCCCATCCCTTCCAGCAGGCGCTAACGCAGCGGCAGCCGCCGCCTTGGCTGCGCCCTCGCGCAGTGACCTCGTCTGGCCACGCAGCCGTGACCACCGCACCGCGCTGTCCGCCAGGGGACCTGCAGCTGCCGCCGCTCCCCCCTCAACGTGGCCCCCCCGCCCAGCCCGCTCAAGCCCCGGGTCGGCACCCTCCCCTCCCGGCGGGGTCTGCTCGCTCCTCGTCTTTCCTTATGTAACTCCACATCTGTCTGCGCCTCGCGGGTCACCCTGGACTCTGCGCCGGGCCCTGCCCACAGGAAGACTGAGACCCACAGTCCCACGCAGATGCAGGCGGAGCGGACGCCGGGCCCGCGCACAGGCTCACGAAGACCCCTCCCATCCTTTCTCTCTAAGACGCCTCCTTCCCCAGACCCCCTGGCCCGAAGAATGGAAGAGGAGGGGCCCCGCGGGGCAAGCGCCCCTGAGCGCGCGAAGGGGTGTTTTCCCATCCCCACGCCAGGTCCCCACAGACATCCCGGTTCCCGGCAGGGGCCGGCAAGGGTTCGCCGGGGCCGAGAGGGCGCGGGGCAGGCCGAGCGGCTCCAGTGCGCACGGGTCGGCTGACAACCGGAGAGCCCCGGCCCTGCCCCCGCCGCGCCCGGCCCGGCCCGGCTCCCAGCCTGCAGCCGAGCGCACCCGCGCGGGGCTCGGCGGCCGGTGGGCACGCGGCGCTGTCCGTGGTGCTGCCGGCGCCGGGCGGGGCGGGGGCGGGGCGGGGGCGGGGCGAGGGCTGCAGCCAATGGCGGGGGCGCTGCGCGGGGCGCGGGGGGAGGCGGGCTGGGCGCGGGGCGCACTTGGCTGCGCGCTGCGCTCGGGGCGCACAGACGCTCTGGCAGCGGCTTGGGCTCTGGCTCTGCTCCTGCTCCGCTTCGGTTGAAGCGGTCGTGCCGCTGACCCCATTCGGCCCGGAATCCGCCCGTTCCCTCGGTGCCGACCGCCCCGGCCTAGGCGCCCGCGGACCATGCGCCGGGCATCCCCCGGGGAACCCGGCCGGGCCGAAAGCCCGCAAACACCAGGCTCCCGGCCCGGGGCCCCTCCCGGGCGCCCGGCCGGCGTTCCGCACCCTGCCCCGCGCCCCGGCGCCGCGTGAGCCGGCGGGGCCATGGAGCGCGCGCCACCCGACGGGCCGCTGAACGCGTCGGGGGCGCTGGCTGAAGAGGCGGCGGCCGCAGCGGGCGGGGCGCGCGGCTTCTCCGCCGCCTGGACCGCGGTGCTGGCCGCGCTCATGGCGCTGCTCATTGTGGCCACGGTGCTGGGCAACGCGCTGGTCATGCTCGCCTTCGTGGCCGACTCGAGCCTCCGCACCCAGAACAACTTCTTCCTGCTCAACCTCGCCATCTCCGACTTCCTCGTGGGTAAAGCCCCCAGCCCCTGCCCGAGTCCTGGAGCTCCCGGCCTGCCCAGGCAGCGGGAACTGGAGCGCTGAACTAGGGTGCCTTTTGCTCGGGCACACGCCCCTGCGGGGGGCCCGCCCTGGGGAGGGCGCGTCCGGGACTCGTGGGCGCAGTGGGCGCGGGCGAGGTGCTTTGCCTCCCCGCCGCGGTAAGGAGGGTGGGGAGTGACGTCCCTGGGGAAGGGGCCAGGGCAGGCGGGCGCCCAGGGAGGCGCAAGGCTCAGCGGCCTCGGGTGTAGCGCTGGCTCCTGCGGTAGCCAAACAAAGGCTGCGGCGGACTCAGAACGCGCCGAGGGCGCTGGGGGGAGGTTTGGTGGAGGGGACGTGGAATGAGGAGTTTTAGAGCCAGGTTGGGGGAAGGGGCCGTGGGAAAGGCAGGGGTGGGGGTGGGGGTGGGGAGAGACTCCCAGGAGCGCGCTCTCACGTGTCCGTGAGCGGCTGCCGGTTGGGAGGCGGGGCGCGCGGAGGGGGCCTGAGCGCCAGACACCTGTTGGGGCTGCGAGGAGGAGCTCGCGCCAGACGCTCCGAGCGGGGCTCGGCTGTGACCAAGTGCCCTGTGAGCCAGGAGAAAGGCTTCCCTGGTTTCTGAGCTGAAGAGGGCAGGCTGTTGGAAGACAGGACAGGGTGTGGGACCCAGCAGGCCAAGGCGAGGGAGGAAATTCTCCTTCTTGCTCCCTTCGGGGACTGGAGGGCTGGGCAGAAGGCAGCCTGGGGCACACAGAATCCAGGGTCACAGGCTCACTGTACACGGAGGCCCCCCCGGCACTCCCCGAAAGATCTCCCCTTCTGCCCCCAAGTCCAGGGGCGCTTGCGGGGCTGGGAGCTGGGCAGGGCCGGAAGGCCAGCTCAGGGCAGAGCGGGTGCCTAGGAGGCTGAGGGAGTGGGTGGGTCGGGCGGCGTTGCTGCCGCGAAGGCCTCTGGGCAGCGGTGCGTCTGAGCCTGGCCAGGCCCAGCCAGGCCCAGCATGGCCCCGCTCCCCCACAGGAGCCTTCTGCATCCCCCTGTACGTGCCCTACGTGCTGACCGGCCGCTGGCCCTTCGGCCGGGGCCTCTGCAAGCTGTGGCTGGTGGTGGACTACCTGCTCTGCACATCTTCTGTCTTCAACATCGTGCTCATCAGCTATGACCGCTTCCTGTCCGTCACCCACGCCGTGAGTCTGGGGCGCAGGGATCCCCACGCACGCCCGGGGGGAGAGGTTGGGAGGGGCCCCAGGAGGCAGCCGGCGGGCGGTGGCTGCTGCTGAATGGAGGGCACTGCCCGGGGAGCGTGGCCCCCACCAGCCTCGCGCCCGACAGGCCGGGGGCTCTGTGCGGCCAGCTGCCCGCTTGGCAGCCGTTTGCCGCCCGGGGCTGGTCCTGGCGCAGGCCGAAGGCAGCGACTGGACTGGGCGTCAGGCGTTCCTCTCCCGGGCGGGTCCGAGGCCTTGGAGCTGAGGGCGAGTCTGGGCCTGAGCGCCTTGGGGGCATGTCCCGTGTGTGTGTGTGTGTGTGTGTGTGTGTGCAGGTATCTTTCGTGCGTGTCTGTGTATCTGTATCTTTGTGCGTCTCCCTGTGTGTCTGTGTGTGTCTATGTATCTGTGTCTGTGCGTCTCCCTGTGTGTCTGTGTGTGTCTGAGCCTGGCTGCTCCCTGGGAGACAGCCATCGGCTCCTGGCTCCCCAGGTCTCCAGGAATCAGGGCCCGGAGCTCCCTGGGCCCCCGGTGTTGGTGCCGCTTGGGCACGCGGTGGCAGCGCTGGTGCAGGTCTCTCCTCGCCCTCTCGTCTCTTCTCAGTGCCATTGTCTGGCACCCGCGGGCCCTCTGCTCAGGGGCCACGTGCGTCCCGTCGAGAGAGGCGGGGACAGGGCGCCCGGGGCACGGGCTCGGGTCAGTAGGCCTGGGTCGGACCCCAGCTCTGCCCCCTGGCCGGGCCGCCGCCCTCCCTGAACCATCGAGAAAGAAAGTGGGGAGAATGGTGGGACTGTTGTGGGGACTAAGAGAGGTGACATCCGAAAGGTGTTGGGCACGGAGCCCGGTGTCCCCTGGGCACTGAGGAGACTGGGACAATGACAAGCACCCTCGGGGAGCTTGCAGTCGGGGGGATGGTAAGCGTGCAGCCTGGCTGTGGGACGTGCGGCCAGGCATCCGCCAGCCCAGGGTTCCCTGGGGGTGGGGAAGGTCGCGGGGGGTGGGGCAGGGAGGAGAGGGGACGGGGATGCCGGGCGCTCAGAGGGCCAGGGGCTGCAGGGGGCCCCCGGTCCTGCAGAGCTGCTGCCGCTGGGGACAGCCGGCCGGCCAGGGCGCGCTCCCCGCCGCCCCCCCCCCCGACGCGGCTCGTCCCACGTCCCACGGCAGGTCTCCTACCGGGCCCGGCAGGGCGACACACGGCGGGCGGTGTGGAAGATGGCGCTGGTGTGGGTGCTGGCCTTCCTGCTCTACGGGCCGGCCATCCTGAGCTGGGAGCACCTGTCGGGCGGCAGCTCCATCCCCGCGGGCCAGTGCTACGCCGAGTTCTTCTACAACTGGTACTTCCTCATCACGGCCTCCACGCTCGAGTTCTTCACGCCCTTCCTCAGCGTCACCTTCTTCAACCTCAGCATCTACTTGAACATCCAGAGGCGCACCCGCGGCCGGCTGGACGGGGTGCGCGAGGCGGCCGGCCCCGAGCCCCCGCCCGCGGCCCAGCCCTCTCCGCCCGCCAGGCCCTGCTGCTGGGGCTGCCGGCTGAGCGGGCGCGGGGAGGCCGTGCCGCTGCACAGGCGCGGGGCCTGCGAGGCGGCGGCGGGCCCCGAGGCTGGGGGGGCGGCCCCGGGGGGCAGTGGCGGGGGCACCGCGGGCTCGCCCACGTCCAGCTCGGGCAGCTCCTCGCGGGGCACGGAGCGGCCGCGCTCGCTCAAGCGGGGCTCCAAGCCATCGGCGTCCTCGGCGTCGCTGGAGAAGCGCATGAAGATGGTGTCCCAGAGCGTCACCCAGCGCTTCCGGCTGGCGAGGGACAAGAAGGTGGCCAAGTCCCTGGCCGTCATCGTGAGCGTCTTCGGGCTCTGCTGGGCCCCGTACACGCTGCTGATGATCATCCGGGCCGCCTGCCACGGCCACTGCGTCCCCGACTACTGGTACGAGACGTCCTTCTGGCTGCTGTGGGCCAACTCAGCCGTGAACCCGGTCCTGTACCCGCTGTGCCACTGCAGCTTCCGCCGCGCCTTCACCAAGCTGCTCTGCCCCCACAGGCTCAAGGTGCAGCCCCACGGCTCCCTGGAGCGCGGCTGGAAGTGAGCGGGCCGTCCGCGGCCGCTCCGCCGCCCACGCCCCGCGCCCTGGGCGGCCGCCTCCCGGGTGGGAGCCACGCTCCGTCTGCGGCCCCCCTGTGTGCCGCAGTGGCCGCAGGCCACCTGCCTGCGGCCGAGGCAGCCCGGCCGGCGGGCGGAGGGGCCCTGCTGCCTGAGCTGGAGTGGAGGTGGCCGGCCCTGCCACCCAAGCCCCAGGCCCACCTCGGAGGGTCTCAGCCACGGTGTCCGCCCCCCACAGACCGTGTGACGGCCAGTGATGTCCACCCTTCGCACAGCTGCTGCTTGGTGTGTGCTCCGCGCTCCCTGCCCGGCCGGCCCGCCCCTGCGCGGGCGCACGCCGCACATGCCTGCACACACCTGCACACCTTCCCCGCCGGCTCCAAGCAAGCTGGGCCACCGGCTCTGCTGCTGGCTGTCCCCTGCTTTGGTCCGGCCCGGCTGCTCCGGCCCTCTCCCCTCAGACTCTCTGTGCCCCCAAGTGCCGCCGGCCCCCCCAGGAGCCTCGCTGCTGTTTTCTGCTTTTCCATTCCCGGCGTTTCAGGAAGACAAAGAAGAAGAAAACACATCTGTGAACTCGATGTTCCTTGGATGTTTAATCAAGAGAGACAAGATTGCGGAGCGCTCTGGGCAGGATTGGCAGGTGTGGGCTCCCACGCCCTCCCGCCTCCGGCTGCTTCCGGCGGAGCCGCGCCGGCTGCTCCTGCCCCCCTGCCCCGACCGCCGCTCCGGGTGTGGCCGGAGCCGGACGCCTGCTCCTCTGCTCAACCCGTGTGACCTGGGGCTGTTGGTCCGAGGGCCCGGCCCTGCCCTGAGGGTTCTGGGGCTCGTGGGGTGGTCGGGGGACCGGGGCCAGGGTGCCTCGTGGAGGGGCTGCTTCGCCACATCTCCCGCACCCGTGGGTGCCCCGCATGCTCCGCCTCCCCTGTGCCCGCTGTGCCGGCCCTGCCGAGCCCGAGGCCCCCAGTAAAGTGTATTTTTTATTGGTGCTGATTCCTGAGAACTTTGTGGGGGGCGGGCCTCAGTGGGGCCCTCGGGACCCGAGACCACCCAGCAGGCGGACCTGGTGCACTGGCCGGCTCCAGCCTCGGCGTCCTCTCCCATGGGGGCGGGGGGCGGCTGCCGTGGGGGGAAGAGCGGCCTGGCTGGCGCACCAGCGGCGTTTAATCCTAGGAAGGGACAGAGGCCCAGCAGGGCCTGCCCCCCAACCCCCAAAGGCTCCCGTCCTTCTTGGCTGTGCTCTTCCGTCTGGGAGCTTCTGGGGGTGTGGGCCCCGTGGGTGGGGGTGAGGGCCGGGCGCCTGGTGGGGAGCCGTCCCGTGCTCAGGTCCAGGGGCGGGGCTCCGGGCGCCGGGTGGGGAGCAGCGCCTGACGGGGCTCCGTGGGCCCCGAGTGGGGCACCCCTGGCTCCAGCCCAGGAGGGGCGCCCCAGCCCAGCCCAAGGGAGCAGGGCTGCCCTTTAAATATCTCCCACGGACCCCGAGACCTTCCTCCAGGTTCCTCAGCTGGCACGCCTCCCCTCCGTCCTGCTCCGTGTTCGCGAGGACCCCCGGTCCCTGCAGGCCCCTCCCCAATGACCGAGGGCTCCTCTGGAGTCCAGGTGCTGTCAGAAGCCCAGGCGGCAGCGAGCGCAGGGGACGGTGGCGCAGGGACGGCGGACACCGCCGTCTGCAGGGCCCAGAGCTCGGGAGCCCCCGTGGGGGCTCTGCCTGCGGGCCGGCCACCCCACTGGCCTCGCACGACCCAGCCGGAGCCCCTGCTGGCGTCTGTCCCGCAGCCCAGCGCCAGCTGAGCAAGGACAAAGGACCCGTCCTCCATGCCGACCGCACAGCCAGCGCACGAACTGCCCCTCCGCCCAGCCTGCTAAATGGCTACAAATTGGAGGATAAAAGCACAGGCTTTCAAGCAATTTTGCCTTCAATCTCTGGGAAGTGCCGCTCGGGCCGGCCGCTGCGCGGGCGGAGGACAGAGGCTGGCCCGAGATTGGACCTGCGCCTGCCTGCGGCAAACACACGGGGCGGGGGCCCTTCCTCCTCCAATCCTGCGCTGGCCGCAGACAAAGCCTCCTCTGCCCCCGCCTGTCCCCCGCTGAGAGTGTTTACTGAGCACCTACTGTGTGCCAGGCCCGCAGCCAGGAGGCACAGAAACAAACAGCGAAGGGGGAAGCGGCTGGGCCCACGGGGTGCGGACCACAGGGGCGGCCCCGCTCCGCTCCGGCGGCACCGAGGGAGCCTTTCTGAGGAGGCGGTGTTTCACTCACCGCACCTGCAAGTGCGGGGCTGGCCGGGGCCGGGGCGGGCGGGGGCGGGTGGAGGCCTGGCTCCCTGAGAGGCACAGGCCGGGCTGGGCATGGGCTGCAGGGCCCGAGGAACAGCTTCTGGGCACGCGCTGGGGGAGGGTCCTTCCCCGCCTGGGACAGAAACCCTACGTTCTCAGGGTGCCCAGGAGGCAACCCCTGACCCTTCCCGGAAAGGCCCAGCCAATCTCTGCTCCCTCCGGGGGACCAGGGCCGCGGTGGAGGGGCTGGGCTCACCCCAGTGGGGTTCCGGAGCCGTGGGACGGGGGCACCCACGTGGCAGCCTGGCCCCTACCTCCCTGCACCCCCACCCCAGGCAGACCTTCACGACGGGGCTCGGGGACGCGGACTCTCACCACCACCCTGCACTGGAGCAGCAGGGGTCCTCGTAGGCACCCCCCACCCCGGCGGTCACGCCCGCAGATGCGAGAGCTGGGGCCCCAGAGGCGGGGACGTGCCTGCGCCCCACTCGGCAGTCACTGGGGCCAGGACGCCCGTGCACACCCCGCTGGGGTTCTCCCCAGGCCCCACAGCACTGCGCCCTCCTGGGGGACCACCTCGCGCCCCGGGTGGGAGCAAAGTGGGAGACGCATCCTGGCGGCGCGCCCTGGGGGGCCCGGGGGTTGGGTGCCCATGGGCTCCGGGGTCTGAGACAAGGACACCGCCCCCGGCGCTCGGGTGGGCAGAGCTTCAGGCTCAAGTTTGTCAGGCCAGCAGCGACCGAGCACAAAACCGTCCTTCGAAGGCGCGAGAGGGAAGGGGGAGGAGGAGGAGGACAGCTTCGCGGGGGAAGCGGGAGGTGGCAGGTGGCGGCGCTGAGGGAGCCGCCTGGGCTGACCCCTCGAGGTCACACCGGTTTCCAAACTTGGACTTGACGGCCTCAAGTGCTTGCGCTTTAAATGCTGGGCGGCCTTCCAAGCGTCCGGCAGCCTCCGGTTCAGAGCTGAGCTGCGGGAACAGTGAGGGGGCGCGCCCCGTCTGCCACCCTGGGCCCCAGCCCTGGCGGCCCCCGCTCCCCGCGACTCCCCACACCATGTGGCAGAGCCTGATTCCTGCGATGCCAGGAGGGCGGGCAGGGTGACCGTGCCCCCCCCCGGCCCCTCCCTCTGCCCAGCAGGATCCCCGGGCTTCCTTTGGATGGTGTCGGCCCCCCGCCCGGGCCTCAGCTGCTGGCCCTCGTGCGGGACAGGGCAGCGGGAAACAGCAAGGCCCAGAGGCTTCGGTGGGGACAGGCCAGCCGGGCAGGAGGCAGGGTCGGAGCCCAGTGCCTGGGGGAAGGCGGGCAGAGCCGTGGCCATGGGTCGCCAGGGCCACGTCCGAGCTGCTGAAGGAGTGCGGGGTGCCTCCCTCGGGAGACCCCCAGGGCAGCGGGGCGGCCGGGCTCCCCCGGTTTTCCCAGGCCCTTCCTGTGCCTGGGAACAGGTGCGTGTCCACTTGCTGCCTGAGGCCCCGGGACGACAGAACGGGAATGAGGAAGTGACAGGCACGGGAGGGCCGGAGAGCTCCCAGAGGCTGGCGGGGCGCGGCCCCTCGGGGCGGGGCTGCTGCGGGGTGTGCAGGAGCCCGGCGGGATGCGCGAACTCTGGAAGGCGGGGCGCGGCTTCAGCGCTGAAAACGGGGCGGCTTGGGAAACCCTGCGTCCCGAGGTTGAGGCCCTGCGCTCAGAGCTGCCTCCAGGGAGGCCGGGGCACCACCCATCGGGGCGAAGAAAGGGGGGGCAGCCCCTGCAGGGAGCTCAGCAGCACCCACGTGGGAACAGCAGGCCAAGGTCGCTGGAGATGCTGCCTCCAGGGACGCTGGCCTGCTGCAGGCGGGACCGTCGGCGGGGGCAGGCGCCGGGACCAGCATGGCGCCCAGGGGCAGAGAGAAGACGAGGCGACAGAGGGCCGGGCGGGGTCAGCCCCCGGCCAGGGCGGCGCCGGGCCCCGCCGCACACGCGGCCGGCCTGCCTGCAGACCCAGCCGCTGGGGGCGGGCACGTGAGGGAGCGACGTCCGCGTCCACGGGCGAGATGTGGATGGTGGTGCCCAGGCAGATACAGAGGCAGCGGCCGAACATCATCAAGGCGGACGATTCTCGTGGAAGTAGGCGGAGGGGCGGCGGTGGGGACGGGGGCGTTGGCGGCCCAGGACGGCGCCTCAGGCGTGAGCCACGCAGCGCCCACCGCCTGCCTTGCATAAATGTCTTCACGGCGGAGGACACCACCCACCCCCTTGTCCCACAAGCAGCTGCGGCGCCTCCCCTGGGCCAGATCCTGAGGCTGTGGGGCCGCAGCCAGGCAAGCAGAGACCGCGCCCTCCCTCAGGGCGCTCCCGTGGGGAGGCAGCTCCCACGCCCCCTCCACAGGGCGCAGCCCCTGAGACCGAAGGACGCGGGCGCCTTGCGCACCTCAGGCCTGGCTCCCCGTGCACGGAGCCGTTGAAAGCCAAGCGAATGACCGGACACAGAAGCCACCTCTGGTCCTGGAGCACAGAGCGGACCCCGCGGGACCGTGTGGGGCAGTGGGGGCTCGCGTCCCCCCGCAGGCCTGGCGTGGGAGCAGACATGGGCTCCCAAACGCCCGTCCGTGGTGCGCTGATGGCCCCCGTGTACCCACCCAGGACCCTGTGGCTGATCCCCAGGGCCCAGGCCCCGCCTCCTGAGCCCCTTCCATTCCCGCCACAGCCTCCCCGCAGGGCCCTCAGGGACAAGGCAGAAGCAGCAGACTTTATTGGGGGAAACAGCAGCTGTATTTCTTGGACAAGCCAGAGGGAGGTGGCGGCGGCGGCAGCAGGGAGCCCAGCCATCGCCACTGGGCCCCTTGCGGTTGGGGGGTGGCGGCTGTCGGGGCCCTCAGCCAGGTCACTCCAGGAGAGAACGTGCCCCGCCCTGGCCAGCCTGTCCCCCAGGGCGCTCTGAGCTGGCGGCAAGTCTGGTGGCTGGCGTGGGCCCAGCGCCTCCCACCCCCGCAGGGACAGTGTGGTGGGGACCCAGCGGGTGTCCCCGCAGACGTGGCCCACGGCCCACAGCCCACCCGGGAGCCCCGCCACCCGCAGAGAGCTGTGAGCTGCACAGAGGAGCACCGGAGGCCGCGTCCCCGGCCGGATATTGGGTGCGCTCGGTCGTGACGCCAGTGCTGGGCTCGGCTCCCCGGCTCGGACAGCTGGGGACAGCGCGGTGGCGCCCCCCTGCTTCCCCAGACGCGCGTCTGAGAGGGGCGTGGCGCCTGCAGACGGGGCCTGACCCCGGCAGCTCTGCAGCTGTGGCGACAGCCAAGGACTCACAGGCCCACCCGTGGCAGCCGCTCCCTGCAGGCTGGTGCTGAGGAGCCGGACGGGCACCCTCGACCCGGTGCCACATGCTGCCCGGCACAGGGCCGTCTGGTCCGTGCTGCTCGGGTGCTAGTCACGGGGACGCGCCGTCTCTGCGAGTCGGAGAGCAGACTGCAGGGCGGCCGCGCGGAGCAGGGAGGCGGCCTTGCCGCTCCGGCCCGACAAGCCGTGTGCTACCACCGGAGCGGCTGGCGGCCCCGGGCCAGCTCGGCGGCCATGCTCTCATCGTGCAGGTCCTTGAGGCGCAGCAGCAGCTCCTCCAGGTTCTCCCCGGTGACGGCTGACAAGGCGATGGCCGTCCCACCCAGGCGGGCCTGCAGCGCGGGCAGGTTGGCTCGCGCCTCGGGCAGGTCGGCCTTGTTGGCAACGATGACATGCGGTCGCTGGGACAGGCCCTGCTGGTACTTCTCCAGCTCGAACTTCAGGTCCTCGACCTGGGTCCAGGGCTCTGGGGCCGCCAGGTCCACCACGAACAGGAGGAAGCCGCAGCGCTCGATGTGCCGGAGGAAGGCCAGCCCCAGGCCCCGGTTCCGGTGCGCCCCTCGGATGATGCCCGGCACGTCGGCCACTGCGGGAGACAGGGCGGGGCCCCGGGGTCTAAGACGTTCCCTTCAAGGAACACCTCAAACCCAGGCCATTTGGTTTCCTGCCTCGGTGACTCTCAGTCCAAATGCCAACGGCCGGGCTCCAGGAGGGCGGAGGCATCGAGGAGGAGCCGCAGCCGCCTCGGGTCAGAAACGTACATGCACAGCCTGGGATGGGGCAGGAGGGAAACCGCACTCCGGGGCAGTGACAGGCCCGCAGCTGCCCAGCGAGAAAGGCCAGCTCTGCGTCTCAGAGGGCAAGCTGCATGCCTATGGCTCTGGGGGACCCCCTCACGGAGCCCCGCCCCCGCACGCGCCAGAAACCTACCTGCCACCTGCTGGTGGTCCTCGTAGTGCACGATACCCACATGGGGCTTCAAGGTCGTGAATGGGTACGCGGCCACCGCTGGCTTCGCATTTGAAATGGCCCGGAGGAGTGAGGACTTGCCTGCATTGGGAAATCCGACCTGCGAGACAAGGGACATGCTGCCACCTCCTCCGCCTGCGCCGGGCCGGGGCGGGGAGTCTCAGGGCCGGGCACCGCACGGGCGGGGCACCACTCCCAGCCGAGGCCAAGGGATGCTGGCTGCTGGGCGGACAAGCTGGGCCGCTGCTCTCCTGCAGGCCAGCGCCCACCCCGCCTCCGGACCCGTTTCCCACGGCTCAGCGTGAAAGGCCCCCTCCCCCCGCCGGGGCTGTTGGTGACACCCACCATGCCAGCGTGGGCCACGGTCTTGAGCTCCAGCAGGAGGACTCGCTCTTGCCCGGGTTCCCCAGGGGTGCAGGTGATGGGCGCGCGGTTGTCGTTGGCCAGGAAGAAGCGGTTGCCCTTTCCGCCTGCCCCGCCCAGCGCGGCGACATACTCATCCCCTGGGCGCGACAGGTCGGCCACGACCTCGCCTCCTTCCTTCACTAAAGTGCCCACGGGGACCTGGGAAGCAAGGTGGCATCTGTCAGGTGGGGCCGGGCTGCTTTCCCGGTTTTGGAGGAGGATGTGGGGGGCGGGGGGGAGGGTGTGCAGCGAGGCGCCCTTCGCAGAGCCCGGGAGTTCCGGGAATAAGGTCCCAGCCCGCCGAGGACGCCACGGGCGTGGGGACACCCTGCGAACCGCGCAGGCAGCCTTTCAAACGGGGTTTCTAACACAGGAGGTGAGCGGGTGCATCAGGAATGCAGAGCTAACCCGCGAACAGGGGCCCCTGCCTCAGAGGGCCCAAGCGGCGGGAACGGAGGCGAGAGCGGCAGGGCCCCGTGGGTTCCCGCTTGGTAAATGCAGTGACTGCGATTTTCTGAACAGGGCCCGCACGCACAAGGTGCACATCGGCACAACGGCCAGGCCGGGGTTTGCTTTGTGGGGGACGGCGCGTGGCCCAGGCCGGACCACAGGCCTGGGCTCGCCGGGCCGGCTCCGCCGCCGGCGCTTACCTGGACGTAGAGGACAGCTCCGCGTCGCCCAAAGCAGTTTTTCCTGCCACCGTCCTCTCCGTCAAAGCCCTGATACTGGGACAGGACGGAGGACAGCGACTTCACCTGCCGATCAACTGCAAGTGAAGAGGGAGAACCTTCACGTTCCTTTGGGTTACAACAAGACAGGCTGCCCGGCGCCACCTTTCCCAGGTGCAGGGCGGGGTCCCCGAGAACACGCAGGGGGACCGGGCGCGAAGCCGCTGCAGAAGCCTCTGCCGGGGCAGCGCGCTCTTTTAAAATGCTAACTTCTTGCCTTCTTTCAAAAAATACAATTTCTGAAAAATTCACAATGACCCCTAATGCCGTCGATGTAAACACAGCTACACTTTATTATGCTGTGAACATTTGCAATTTAAAAATAACTACGTTTTACTGTTGCGATGTTTACTAAACTTCGAGTTTACTGAGCATCTTGTGCTCCAAGTGCTGAGCAGCAACACTCTCCCTGCACTTCCTCAGAGCAGCGAACGTTCACCCTGTGCCGTGCTGTACCTTAGGTTTCCTGACAGTAAGGAGTCTCCGTTTACCTCAAACCAAATTAAGAAAAGAAAACCCGCTATTGGAGTTGGGTTTTGGTGCGTTATTTAAACGTGAACATCCACATAATTTAACAAAAATGATGCCCATTCCTCAGTTTTTGGACGCAGATTCCCGCCAGGATAAGGGGTTCCCGCCCCGAGGCGCGCGCCCCGGCCCGGGCTGCTCCCCAGCACCTGCCTCTCAGGACGACATGGCCGCCGCTGCCGCCGTCGCCGCCGTCGGGGCCCCCGAACTCCTTGCGGGGCTCGCTGTGGAAGCAGCTCGCGCCGTTGCCCCCGCGTCCGCCTCGGACCAGCACCCGGCGGTGGTCCACAAAGTGCCTTTTCTGCGGAGAGCGCGGCGCCGGGCGTTACTCAGGCCGCCACCCTCTCGAGGGCCGAGCCACGTGTCACGCATGTCGCGTGGACCTTCGCTGCCTACGGTGGGCTCCCCAATGGGAAGTGCCTCTCCAGGTCCCCAGGGGGCTGGAACGAAGCGGCGACTGTTTGATAACTACCCGCTCACACGACGAGAAGATCGGCCGCCCAGGAAGCCAGGTGTGGCATCGAGGTGCCAGCCGGCAAGCGCACGCCTGCCTCCGGCTCCGTACGCACCGTGCGCACAGACAGAAGGCCACCTCCCGGCCCCGCCCCTGGGCCCAGGGCGTCTGCTCCTCCACCCACTGCTTCCTCTGCAGGCCTTTTTTTAAGAAAACACAAATATTTAAATCTTGTTTGGCCACACTGCGTGGAAAAACCATGAAATACTATTTTAAAAACTTTGTCTAATTTCGCCCTCTGTCTAAGTCTCCAAAATCCACCTGAGGAGCCCGGGGAGGGCAGGCCAGGCCTGACACGCGCGCAGAGACGGGGGCAGCAACCGGGGCCGCCCTGAGCGCGTCGGCACGGGCAGCGCGCTGACTGGAGCCCACTTCGGGGGGCACGAGGTGGGGCCGAAACCCAACGCGGCTCTTCCTGAATTCGGCTGAAGCCCCCGCCGTTTGCTGAGTTAGGAAAGACCAGGCCTGTGGAGAGCATCCGTGGCCCCGCGGGACGGGTCTCGTCCGGCCTCGGGCCCCATCCCTGCGCCCGGCAGCTTCCGTGGAGCTCGGGACCCCTTCCGCTTCCTCGTTGCCAGCACCCACCTGTGCCCCTCCAACAGCCTAATCAGAGCAAGCGAAGGCCCGACAGCGAGGCCTCAGAAGGGCGCCCAGCGGGCAGCTGCACAGGCCCTCCCCGCAGGCAGCCTCACCAGTTTCTTCTCGGAGAGCGGCTTCTTCCCGGGCGGCGTCTGGGCGGCGCGGTCCGCGCGGCCAAGCGAGAGCGGCCGGGGGTCGGCGAGCCATGGCGGGGGCCGGCGGAGGGCTGCCCCTGGGGACACAGTCCAGCGCCCCAGGCCCTCGAACACGCCCCGCCACCCTGCTGGGAACAGCCTCAACGGCACCATGGCTCCCTAATGAAAGTCAAATTGGCAAAATAAGGAGCCTGGACATCAAGCAAATGAAATCTCAATGTGCGTTTTTGAAACAAATAAGTAAACCGATGACCACGATCTTGGCGCGTCCCTGGCCACGTCGGACCCTGAGTCGTGTGAGTCACGTGCCCCCATCAGCCTCTGGGCTACTAGGGGGCAAGATGTGTGTGTCAATACACAGGATTCACCGTTCACCGCCGCGACCGGAGGCACGCCCCGCGGGATAGCCCACATCTGCTACGTGAAAACGCCACAAAGGAAACCCGAGCCTCGGGTCGGAGCCCTCGAAAGCGCCCGTCCCCTCGGACGCTCTGCCGTCGCCTCGTGCGGTGCGAACGTCAGGCCAGGGGCAAACAGCCCCTCCAAATAGCCTGACAGCACACGAAGAGATCCAAGGAGAAACTAGGAAATGTTCTGGCCTGCGTGACCGTGACCGAAGGACACACCAGTCCATGGGCTGCTGCTAACGAGGCGCGCAGGGGGCCTGCGCGGCCCTGCCCCTCACGCGTGGAGGGCGCGTGCCCAGCCCCCGCGCCGCCTGAGTCCGGGGAGAGTCCTGAGCCGCGCGGATGCTGTGTTTCCCCTCCTACGTGCCTACGGTAAAGTTCAGTTCACAAATGAGACACAATGGGGGACTCACAACAACGACGGGCAATAAAGTAGAACCATTGTCACAACAGGCACAGAGCCCCGTGACGGCGGTTGCTCGCTGGCTCGCGCGCCCGGTGTGATAACCAAGGTGGCTCCTGAGGGACTGACCGCCGGGGAGGTGGAGACGCTGGGCCAAGGGAGGGGTCATGCCCGGGGCGGGTGGGAAGGGACAGTAAGAGACTTCATCACGCTGCTCATGACAGCATGCAATTTAAAACCCGTCCACTGTTTGTTTCTGGAATTTCCCATTTCCCATTTCTGAATGTCCGTGGACCGCGGCCAAGTGAAACGCAGAAACTGAAGCTGGGTAAGGGAGACGCAGCCGTAGGTCTAAATGCCTCTATCAGTTAAGAAGAAACATCTGCGATCCATGAGGCAAGGTTCCCCATCAAGAAAGAGAAAAGGTAACTCGGAGGAAGGAGACGATAAAGACCAGAAAGACACGGAACAGAACGCGGGCAGACCGTGGAAGCCGCGCGGCAGCCCCACCCTGGCCCGCTGGGAATGTAAGCAGGGCAGACAGCCCTCACTAGAGGGACCGAGAAAGTGAGGAGACACGAGTGATAATGTCAGGAATAGAGAGAGCGTCACCAGCACAAGCCCGGCACGCAGCAAGGGCCAAAGGACGCCAGGAGTGGCCTCAGCCCATAGCTCAGCACAGCCCATGGAACGTTCTGGAAAGAGGCACCTGACCACACAGACCCACGAAGACAGAGAAGTCTCGGCCGGCCCGTGGCTGCTAACGAGCGGAAGCGGTCATAAAAGGACATCCCCAAAAGAAAACTCCAGACTCAGGCTGCCTCACTGGTAAATTCCACTAAACATTCAGGGAAGAAGGGACAGCAACCGCACGTGAGCCATTTCCAGGAGACAGAGGTCGTGAGGCCACACCCGACCCGTGTCACAAGGCCAGAGGTGCCCAGGACCCAAATCTGACGTCACAGAAAAGCAACTGCAGCCCGGAGCCCTTGGGACCGGGGATGCGGAAGACGCGTCCAGCAGACGCACCCCAGGACCACGCAGGACGACTCCTGGGGCGCAAGGTGTCGCCAGCAGGCAGGCCCCACACCGGCCGTCACACACGTCTGACAAATGTCACGCCCACTCATGAGTGGGGACATGAAACCTGACGGGGAAGGGGGGGCGCTGTCAGCCCGACAGAGGCCGCGGCCAGCGCCACGCCCGCGGCCCGACGCCCGCCACTGCCGCACGGCGCTGGCTTTACATGTTTTTTTGAGGAGGAACAAGCTGCAGAAGCTCTGATTGTTTCCACAGAAATCTGTAAAACTTGACTATACGAACCGAGCAAGGCTGCGGGTTACAAGGTTAACGCACAAAAATCAACTGTACTCTTATAGATGAGCAGCAAACAGCTGCGTTGGCAGTAACACCAGTTACAAAAAGTTCCTGGAAGCAAGTTTATGATAACATTTGAAACCTCTGCCTCCCTATTTGCAGGATGCGGTTCTGGGCGTCTTTCAGGGATTAGGTCATTGAGGCTGTACAACAACTCTATAAAGAAAATGGGGAAACTGAGGCAACAGAGGGCAAGTGAGGCACCCAAGCATGGGCAGGGGTGGAGTGTGAAAACAGGTCGTTAAAAGAACACCCAACTCACCGGTTAGCAACACTGCAGCGAAGCCCGCTGTGAAGCTCCGCCGCGGCTGCGGGTCGGGCACATGGCGTCTCGGCCGTGGTGACGTGAAATCTGAAGGAGAGCAGAGCAGGTGAGAGGGTGACCCACGGCAAAGCCCCCCAGAGACCTGACCTCTCGACGGGCCTGATTTGGAGCCCTTCCCCGCTTCCCACCCTGCGGCTTCCGGGCGCCCCCTTGCCAGCTAAGCATGTGCAGCTGTGACTCAGCTGCTCTATTTTTCCTTCACTTTCCTTCTAATGCTGCCCCTACACTGTCCAATAAGGTGTCCACTAGCCACACGTGGCCACTCAGTTTAAGTCAATAAGAATTGTAAAAATGTAAAAACTCAGCCCCTCATTCCCAGCGCCCAGACCCGTGTGGCCCGTGGGTGCCGCCCTGATGGCCACGTGTCCACCGCCACGGAAAGTCCCACTGGGTTGCGCTGGTCTGCACTGGCCGTCTACCCCCCACTGGGGTAGCCCAGATGACGCGGAAGCTCTGGGCCGAGTCGGAGGCACAGGGGCGGGGACTCAGAAAGACTGCCGACTGCAACCGACAGGCAGCGAGGGCCACACTTCAGACGTCGCGGCTTTGAAGCCCAGCTCTCCCAGGCCTTGGGAGCCATCATTTGCCAGGACCCTCTGCTAAGCCTCGCACGGACGTTTCTAAGTTTATTCCTCATGACAACCGTGTGAGGGGGCGGTAGTACACTTGGGCTATCTTGTTTGCTTTTCCAGAGCCAATCGGAAAAAAAAATTTATTTTTAGAGAGGAGAAGGGAGGGAGGGGGAAAAGAGAGAGAAACATCAGTGTGCAGTTGCCTCTCATGCACTCCCACCGGGAACCTGGGCCTGCATCCCAGGCACGTGCCCCGATGGGAGTCAAATCGGTGACCCTTTGGTTCGCAGGGCAGCGCTCAATCCACTGAGCTGCACCAGCTGGCGCCCTCACCCACTTTTGACCCTGTTGCTGTAAGGGGCTCGTTTGCCTTTGGCCAGAGACTGGAGGGAGGAGCAAGAAACGAGGAGAGGGACTTCCCTGTCTGCCTCCCGCGTTCAGACTGACGTGGAGCCGGGTCTGCAGGGCGGTCTTCTGCAGCAGCCCCTCCCCTTATGCTCCGGCGTCTGGGGGTGGAAGCAACTCCACAGTCACCTCTCCAGGCTCCACCTCCACCGGTTCCCTACACTCTCCCTTTACAAACCCTCCTTAAGTTATCCTACGTGATGCGGTCATGACTCCTGACCCACACATTTTCTTGTGCCCATTTTAAAGCAGGGCAGGCTGAGACTCAGTGCGGAGCTGCCCGTCCAAAGCCCTCTGGCCTCGCACGCAGGCTGCTGCGCCGCACTTCACAGCAGGAGTCTTCAAAGTGGAGCTATGCGCACGCAACCACCTTGCGAGCATAATTCCCGAGGAATAAAACAGCTCTGAGCGCGAACCTGCATAGAAAAGAACCGTGTTCTGCTGCCCCTTCCTCCTTCAAAAAGCGCAGGCCAACCCCACGGCTGACCGGCGTGAACATGAAGCCTCCGTCTGCGTCTACAAAGACGCAGAGTGGGACTGTGGACCCCAGCCTTGCTCCGCAGGCGGCGGCGTGGTGAGTGAACTCACCGGAGAACGCCCCATCCACGGAGAGCTGCATTGGCAACAAAACTTTGTTTAATGAAATGTTTATCAAAGCCTGGTGTGTGCTTACGCTGTTCCGTGCCACCGTTCATTATGATTAAACATCTGGCCCTGGCTGGTGCGGCTCAGTGGACTGAGCGCTCACCTGCCAGCTGAAAGGTCACCGGTTCGATTCCCGGTCAGGGCTCCTGCCTGGGTTGCGGCGGGTCCTGGTTCAGGGCGCGCGAAGGGCGACCAATAGTTGTTTCTTTCCCTCTCTCCCTCCTCCCCCTCTCTCTAAAAGTAAGTAAAATCTTGAAGAAAACGTTCAGTATTGAGGACCTTGGGTCAAAGGAAACGCCGCACCCCCTACGTTCGGGTGCGCGCGTCGGGGGCGGAAGGAGCTGGGAGACGGCACGTGGGCCCCGCAATCCGCTCGCTCGTGCGCACGCGCGCGCCGCCGGAAGCCACGGGGTCGCGCGCACGCCCGCGGTGACCGTCTCGCTATTCGCAGGACGGAGATGGCGGGCCGGTCGGCGCCGCTGGCTGCAATTCCGGGCCCCTCCCTCCGCCAGCGCCCCGGCCCGAGCCCCTGGAGGCCCCGGCCCCTCTCCCGCACTCACCCACTCGGAAGGGCACAGCACTTCCGGGGCCTCGGCCGCCCGCAGCGGTTACTTCCGGGGCGGTCCGGACCGCGCCTGCGCAGGGCGCCACCAGTGCGCCGGGGCGGAAGGCGGTGTGCGGAGTCTGCGCCGAGCGGGGGCTCGGGATCTAGGGGTTGGGGACCGGTCACGCCGAGTCTGGACCGTGGGGGCGCGCTGTCGAGGACCAGATGGAGACGGAGGAAGACCGGGCCTCCGTCCACCTCTGGATTCCCGGCTCGGCCAGCGGTCTGCTTGCCGCGTCCCCGTCCTCGGTCACGGGTGGTCTCGGGTCACCTCCCGGGCCCCTCCCCGTCACGTGTGCTGTGGACCGAGCGCCCGGGGTCAGCTCCCTGCCACCGCGGGCCATCACTCTGTACCGGACAGCCTGCCCTCAGGCCGCCAGTGGCCCGTTGGACACTGCCAGGTAATAGGTCCCCCAGGAAGGCGACTCTCCACGGGGACAGTCACCTGGGTCCGGGTACAAATCACGGGGCATCCACCCCTTTTGACATCGCAAAAACTCCCTTTTTGGGATGACTTTTGAAGAACCAGTTTATTAATTACACCAAAACCGTAAACAATTTATACGCCAAACTCTGGCTGGGGGGAGAAAAATGAACCAATAAAGATGATGTTCAAAACATGTCCTGTGCTCACCGATAAGACGAACCCTGACCTGTTCAATAAATAGAAGTGAAGTGAAGCAATGGCTGAACAGTTTAAAACAGAAACAGAATCGGCCTTCCACGTTGTACAATTCTGAGCAGAGGCCCGACACTCAAAGCAGTATTTATAAAACCGGCACAAACAGACGCCGGCGCAGGCTCCAGCTGGAGGAGCCTAAGGCTTCCCCGGAGGCCCGGCGGGGCGCCTCAATACGGTTCTCGTGACGCTCGCACGAGTGCCGAGCACTTCGTAACGGAGCCCGCAAGTGCCGAGCGTCTGTAGACCAATGTGAAGTTGTCGGCGCGCGCTTCTGGTCGTTTTTCGAATTCGCGACCTGTGAGGTGCCAAGGACAACAGGAGGGAGGACAGTATCAGTTCCCAAGTCTGTCCTCGCATCGCCACTGGCTTCCATGACAACACAGCACCATCCGCCCCGCGGCGGGGCACAGACAGTCCGTCTTAGCCGAAGCTGCTGCCAACGCTCAGGTCCCGGCAGAGAAAATGTAACAGTTCACGACACACAGAGTTGCTGCCATCACGTTTTCCCCACAATATTACTTAAAAAACGGACAACACATTAAATAAACATTCTGTTATTCATCCTTAAATATATTAACACCAAAAATCATGTATAAATTAGGAAATAAATGTACAAACTATTTCACAAAGTGCTTTTTAAAATATATACACAACATTCAAGAAATTCTTAATGTAAGACATTTCAGATTGAAGTTTTGGGATAACTTTTCAGTGTCCTTTTCAAAAAGTATTCATACAGCACATGAACAAACCACACACACACACACACACACACACACACACACACAGAAGGCGTACGGCCAGGATGACAGGGAATAAAAATAAGCTAGTTTCACATTATCTAAAATGTTTAACATTTTCAATGGGAAATTTTAGTCCCTGATTGAGTTTGCAAATTAGTTCTACGAAAACTGTCAGGAAATAAGAGAACAGGATCATCAAGGGAGATGACGTTGCTACCACCTGTGCCATTTCAGCACTTAAGAACTCCCATCCCAGTAATTTAATCGAGACAATGTATTTTTAAGCCCTTACCAATGTTAAGGGTTTTCAAACCCACATGCCTACAAAATAAACACTTCTATCCTGGTACATCTGATGTACAAAGAACTGGATTTTTTTGTATTTTCTTGGCTGTTCTTGGAAATACATCAGCATCTATCCAAAGATGTTTTTAAAGGAGTTAAAATGGATATTATGAGCCAAGTGAAGATTGATAAAATGTGTTACTTAGTGAAAGGTAGGATTTTTCTTCTGACCCAGTTTTTCCCAGTGAGCTCTCTATAATGTTTGCACAGAAATTAACATCCTGGAAATGTAAAAATTACTCAAATTTCTCTCTATGAAACCTTTCCTTTTCACTAGGAAGAACAGAGTAACCTCAGTGGCACTCTTTTTTTAAAAAGAAGTGAATTTTAGGTCTCTCTAAAAAAATAAATAAATAACGCTGGCCGGCACATCTGAACAGACAGGTCCTGGGAGAAAGAATGTAAAGTGAATAACTTGCCAGCTGTGTGGGAAACCTGGTGCCACTGTTTCCAGCTCAAAGTTGAGAATGGGGCACGTTAAATACGCAGACCCCCACAATGATCCTCAGACTGACAAGGGCCGGAGCCCGGGTGACGTTGGAGAGCTTCCCCCCTCCCTGCCGGCCCACAGCTCCCTGGTCAGGCTCGACCGCGGCCTTCGTGGACGCGCATCGGCGACACCGTCGTTGATCCCTCTTTACATTTACGACAAGGACACGTAACCTTCTGGACAAATGGAATTGGCTGGAGACGCAGGTAACGGGTGAGCTCGGGAAGCCACAGGGCGGTGCGCAGCCTCTCCGGTGCCGTGGATCAGCCTTTCATGGAAGCAGGCCCACAGCACATGGAGCCCCGCCCCACCCCAGGCCCTGGCCGAGGTGCGCCCAGGGCAGGGCGAGCGGCTGAGGTGGGGTCGCCCGTGAGAGACGAGTTTGCGACCCACGTTACAGCTGCATGAGGCGATCTGGACCCAGGGCCTGTTTCTATGGAAACACTGACTATGGCATCTCGTAGGTATGTCCCATCGCTGGGCACAGAACACTCCGATGACGAGAGGACCCCTAAAGCTAGCTAGAAACATCGAGGTGGGGCGAAAAGGGACCACCTCTCCCTTCCCGTATGGACAGATGAGACTGTACACAGCACCAGGGACGTCACACCAGCAGCGCGCGGTCCCACGCCCCGGCGCACGCGCGGCGTCCTACCCAGCATGAAATGTGCACGTTTCACATGCAACACGCGTGGGGTGAAGGGGCAACCGACAGGCCACAGTTCCTCAGAACTGCCACAGGCCCGGGCACACCAGTGCAAGGCTCCGCCAAGATCGCCTGTCCCTTACTGCTGGTAATTCCCGTATTGGCCCTGCAAGAGACCAGGACAGAAGTCACAGCCCCATCCCTCCAATGTCTGGGGTGACACAGGGAGGGGGCCCAATGGGAACAAGTGGACGTCTCCTGCCCTGATCTGCAAAGGGCCCCCGTGCAGGTCCACGCCGGCCCAGCCACCCTCGCTCTGTCCCTCGGCCCCTCGGGGTCCTCTCCCTAGAACTATCTGCCCGGCTCCATCCCGGCCCCCACGCAGCGTCTGGCCCTGTCGGACGAAACCCAGTCTCTAAAGGTGCGGCTGCCTGTGTCTCGTCACCGTGTGTCCCCAGCACGTAGCAGAGAGGGCCCCGGCGAATCTCCACGGCCGGAGAGAATGCCAGACTCTCTGTGGGTTGAGGACCTAGAGAGCCACCTGTCTGACCAGGGTGAGCTACACGTGGAGGTGATTTTTTAAAACAGGGCCAGAGAGTCACACTCTGGGAGGGACCCTGGAAGCCAGCCGGCTCATCTCCCTATTCCTCGTGGCCAGAGGAACCTTGGTTACGTGCGGGCAGGCACACGGACCGGCGGGCGGGGAAACATCCAGACAGCTTGCCTGTTCGTAGCCATATGGCCGCTGCTGCTGCGCGGATGGGCCGGTCTGCGACGCCCTGTAGCTCCCGTACTGTTGGCCTTGTCCTTGCTGGTAGCTGGAGTACTGGGAGGGGGCTCCCTGGGCTGGGCCTGGGGACAGAGCAGCCATGAGGCCGCCTGGAAGGCTCCGGACAGGGGACCCGTGCCTCCGTGGCCCGGCCTGCACAGCAGGGGCACTCACCCCCGCGGGTGGCCGCCGCCCCACACCCACGCTGGGTCCCCTGAGCACTTCCTGTCACGGTGGTCACTGTGACCACGCGAGGTCACAGCAACCAGGGAACACGTGTGTAAGATAGACAGCGATCCTGTCTGGGGAGACTGAGCTGAAGGCTCTGGGAAGGACCCAGAAAAGCCGAGTACGCTTTCTGAGGGTGCTGCTCAGTCCCGACTACGAAGGGCTGAAGCAAAGCCTCGCTCCCTCTTCCCTTCCTCACCGTGTGCCAGCATCACCTGGGAGCCTGACAAGAACCCCCACAGGGGGGCCCCCAGGACACCTGATTTCTCAGAGGTCCCAGGAGGCGTCAGCAGCAGGGCAGGCGGAGACCCAGCGGCCTCGATGAGCTCCCTCAGAGGCTGCGGCATGCAGCGCACGCAGGGAACGGCCGGCTCCGGTTGGCAGAGCGGCGAGGGTCAAGTTTAAGCTAAACTGAGAGGCTGCAGGTGGACTGTAGGGCCGCTCACTGATCTCACTTTTCACAAACTTACCACCTACTCTTTTGGGTCACACCGGGTTGGACACGGCCAACGCCAGAACCCAGCTACCCTCGCAGCTTTTCTGCACACCCGAAACTGTTTCCGAGTAAACGTGTCCTCGGCGTGTATCCGGAGACAGTGCTCCCACCGCGGCGTCTGTGTGGGCGGCGCCCCCTTACCGTAGCCTGGCTGCTGGCCCGGGTAGCTCTGCTGGTTGGGGTACTGCTGCTGGTACCCCGCCTGCTGCTGGGCCGCCCCCTGCTGGTACCCCGCCTGCTGCTGGCTGTACTGTGAGTTCCCTGGGGGGCGGAGGAGATGCCGTTCGTCAGTAAACGCGGCCGCGCACCAGCCACGAGGAACGGACAAGCGACCGACTCGCTGGCTGACATTTCCTATAAAACCGCTGCTTTCCGAGCCCGGGTGCACCCCAGGGACCCCATGGGGGCTGTTCCCAGGAGGAGCCGCCCGCTGCTCCCAACGTCCACCCACAGGCAGGTAGACCAGTCCCCATGGTGAAACCGTGAGAAGAGCCCAGGATGCCGGCTCTGCAGCCACAGGGCTTGGGGTGTGGGGGGTCGGGGCGGCGCAGGCCTGGGCTCTTTGATTTCAGGAACAGCCAACGTAGCCACCCCTTTCAGCTTTAACTTCAAGGGATTCAGAAACATAGAAAAAAAAGCCCTGTTTGGTGAGGCTCTGGGGACTGAGCGCCAGCCTGCGAGCCAAAAGGGTCGCCGGTTCGATTCCGTCAGGGCACAGGCCTGGGTTGCGGGCCAGGCTCCCAGTGGGGGGCGCGCGAGAGGCAACCAATCAATGTATCTCTTGTGCCTTGATGCTTCTCTCCCTCTCTTTCTCTCTCCCTATCCCTCTAAAACAATCAATAAATACAATATTTTTTAAAAAAAAGAGAGAGAAAGAAACATGAAAAAGAACGGGGCGCACCGCAGGGCCAGGGCCCGGTCGAACCTCGCGCCTCCAGCAGTCCGCCCGGCCTTGCGGGGCTCTGCCCGCACTGCGAGCCTGCCAGGCCGTCGGAGCCCCTGCCCGCCGCCCGCCCGCCCGCCCGCCGCGGCGCTCCTCACCGCCCTCATAGTAGTGCTGCGTGGGCTCCTCGAAGGACCGGTCGTAGCTCTGCTCCGAGTAGGACGACTGCTGGTAGGCGTAATCGCCGTGCCCTGCAAGCAGACGGCCGCCGGCAGTCAGGGGCCGGGCCCCCAGACCCGGCGGGGGGACAGCCACGAGCCAGGCGGCCGCCCTGCGGGGTCGGGCAGCGGCCAGAGCCGGGCACAGATGGGTCCCCGCAGAGGGCGCCCACAAGGGAGCCCGCTGTCAGTCCCCTTAGGGAAAACGCAGATGCCACGCTGCCCACGGGTTTCCGTGAGGACTGACCACATTCAGTGCCCGACAGCGTGACAAGTGCCGGCGGCCGGCGGCCGGGAGCGTTGCCGCACAATGCCCATCGTGCCGTCTGCCCTGGGAGGTGGCCCCTCAGAGGCCCTGAGCGGGTCTCAGCCCCACCCCCAATCACACCGGGTCCCTGTCTGGGAGCCCCTCCCGTCCCCAGCCATCGCCTCCGCCCACTGTAAAAGCCACCTCCAAAGCCCCTGGGACTACTAGAGATGACCGAAAGGTGACAACAAAGAGGAAAACCCTTGGCAGAAATTAACGCCGAGCAGCTGGGAGCGGCGTGTGACAAGACACGAGCAGCCCAGCCAGGTCTGCCACCGTCCTGGAGGCATTTCATGAGGCCACTGTGTCCCTCCAAGTGCCCACAGCCACCTGTTCAGAGGGTGGCACAGCCCCAGCCCGGGACTCCGCTGCCTCTTGGGGAGAGACGGGCAGCCCCGGGAGGCGCGTGGCCGCGGCTCGTGCCGGCCGTGCCTCTGGGCAGGGATCGGGCTCTGCTCCGGTCACGCTCGGGCACGGGGACACTGGGTGCTGCCACGCCGGCGCGCGGGCCCGAAGCCTCACCGTCCGCATAGTACTGCTGGCCGAGCGGCTCCGAGGCGGCCTGGCCGTGGCTGTACTGCTCGCCGCCGTAGTACTCCTCCTGGCCCAGGTACTGCTGCGACGAGCCTGCGGCGGGGGCGAGCGGGCGGCGTGAGCGGGGTGGGGCGGGGGGCCTCCGCCCCACAGGCGCCTCCGCGGCGGGGACGCCAGCCCAGCCCTCAGCTCCCAGTACTGTCCACCGAGACCCAGCGGCCCACGCCCGCCCGCGAACCCCACAGCACGCTCTGGCCTCGCCCAGCCCCGGGGAGGCGTCGGCCCCACGCGGCCCCAGCCCTCGGCCCCCAGCGCCCGCGCACGGCCACCCTGCCCCCGCGGTACCTTGCTGGGAGGGCCGGTAGGGCGCCAGGGGCCGCTGCCCCATCATGCCGCTCCCCTGCCCGCTCTGGCCCATCAGGGCGATGGACGGCTGGCCCTGGTAGTGCTGGCTCCCGCCCTGCGCCGAGCTGTAGTGGGACGCGGCGGCCTGCTGGTGCATCATGGACACTGGGCGGCACGACAGACCCGGGTGACGTCCTCGCGTCCTCGCCCAGGCACGGGGCGGCCGCCTTCTCCTGGGCGAGCGTCCCCCGCTGTCCCTCGGAGCCCCGCCCCCGAGACGGTCCCCTTTCGTCCCCGTCATCCTTCCTACCCGTGAAGCTCGGCGCCCACTCTCACAACATGTGGCGCTCAGACAACGCCGCCTCGACACCCCGCCACCTGACCTGTCCTCTCGTGTCCCCCGCTCAGAACCCTCCAGTGCAGCAATGCCCAACAGAGCGGGACGGGAGCCACGTCACAGAGCAAAGGGAACGGGTGACGTCCGTTGTGGTTACACCTTTGCTCGACCTAACGCACGCAGAGTATGCGCCTTCTCCACGTGTAATTACCGCTAGGAAGGGGAGGGATGGCTCACCCCGCTTCTGTGCTGAGTCTCTGGAACCCGCTGTCTGTCACTCGCAGGCCACCACGCCCAGGCCTGATGCCCCCAGCGCTCGGCCCCCAGCGCTCGGCCCCGGCCGCTCGGCCCCGCCCCGCCCGCCCGCTTCTCCACGCCACCCCCGCCCGGGCAACCCTGAGCCTGTCCCCTCAGCAGGCACAGGGCGCCCTCCTCAGAGCCTTCCCGGGGCCGCCGCGGGGAGCAGCCTCGGCCCTCCAAAGCCGGGCCCCGTCTGACCTGTGCCCCCCACCCCGCGGCCCCAGGGAAGGGCCCGGAGGAGGAGGGTGGCCCCCGAGCGTGCGAGCGGAGAGGCCCGGGCGGGGCGTTACCTGGGTTGGACTGCATGTTGATGTTGGCCCGCGACACGTAGTTGCTGATGGCGCCCTGGCCCTGCAGGGGCACGCTCTGCGAGCCGGGCCCCGAGTGGCTGTAGCCAGGCCCCGAGCCGTGGCCGCTGCCCGACATGCTCATGGAGGTCGTGGGCAGCGTGCTCTGCGCCGTCTGCTGCATGGACACGTGGTTCGGACCTGCCGGCAGGGACCACGCGTGAGGAGGCGCCTGCCCCCGTCCGCCGCTGCAGGCTGGGCCTCCCGGCCGGATGCCCGGGCTCCCCGCAGCCAGCGAGCCGCGTGGGCCCTGGGACGCTGGGATGGGGCCCTCCGCAGGGCCCGATGGCCGTTGCCGCCCTCCCTGAGCAGACAGGGGCATTCGTGTCCTTGGGAGGACCTCCCCACGGACCATGAGGCTCTGGTTGGACGCGGCCCCGCCCCGAGGTGCCGGCCACAGCGGGGGCTCTGGAGGGAGGGCTGTGTTCCCCGCAGGCCGCCCCCACCCCCACTCCTGTGCCGGACCGCGGCCCACCCGCAGCCAGGGCCTCCGTGGGCAGAGGGGCGCCCATGCCCAGCCCTGCGGGGCCGCCCGGGGGCCCGTGCTGGTGGGGTTGCAGGGACCAACCACAAACCCGACGTGCCGCCCGGAGGGCTCACCGTTGCCGATTTGGCCCTGCATGAGGGAGCTCGGGGGCAGGCCGGTGCCGATGGCGTCGCTGAGGCTGCCCTGGGAGTGCAGGCCCTGGCCGGAGCCGCTCTGGGACAGCGCCCCGGGGCCCAGGCTCATGTTCTGGGTGGGCGGCTGCGGGCCACAGGGGGGCACGGGAGAGCGGTTAGCTCAGGCGGTCCCCGGCGACCAGCAGCCACTCCACAGATCTGTCCCGCTGACCGTCCCTGTGAGGGGAGGGCCCGCCCCGCCTCGCACCCCGTGGCGGCCTAGGCTGTGCCAGGCAAGACCTCCGACCTCTGCTCCCTGGCCGGTGGCCGCCTGACTGTGCTGGGCAGGGGTGGGGCCCCGCGCACCCCGCCACCCCACCCCGCCACGGGCACTCACAGCGGGGAGCAGGGACTGCATGTTCTGGTTGGAGTCGGCGATGGTGGCCAGGTAGACGAGGTTCCGGTGCAGGATCTGCTGATACCTGCAGGCGAGGGGCGCGCGGTGAGTGCGGAGCCCGCAGGCCGATCCCCTGGGTGAGAGCGAAGTCCACCCAGGAGGGCCTCGCCCTGCGGCCAGTGCCGGGATGGTGACCCCAGAGGACCCCCGGGGACGGGGCGGGAGGCAGAGCGCTCTGCGGTCCAGGGTGGGCCTGCCGGGGGCGGGCTCCCGTCCACTGACAAAACGCTGCGAAGACCCCAAAGTGGCGGCCGAAGGGCGGGTGCCACCCGGTCTCTTCAGAGAGGGGCGTGGACAAGCCCTCCTCCAGGTGAGGCCAGCTAACTTGGTGCCGCCCTGAAGAGGTGCCGGGGGAGACAAGGAAGCTTAGTGTGACGTGGGACCACCACCCCAGGTGGGTGAGGCGGCTGCTCACCCGGGCCGCCCTCCAGGCGGCTCTGATGCCCGGCTCCTGCACCGGCTTTGCCTGGACGGAGCTCGCTGTCCCTGGTGTGTCCAGCTCCTGCCCAGGGAGCCGCCCGCAGCGTCCAGCCTCCCCAGCAGACCCCTCTCTCCCCATGCTCCCATCCCCCCGCCCCCGCGCTGGGGAGCGACCTGGGGCAATGCAGCCACCCTCCAAAGGGCGACACTCAGCGGCCTTCGGTGGCCGCAGCCCAACGCCCCCAGCACTGGGCAAAACCACAGCCCGCACCGCGGCAGCTGGGCGGGGGCACTCACTGGGCGCACTCGGCCGCCTTGCCCTTGCTCTGGTGGTCCAGGATGCACTGTATCAGGTGGTGGTTCTCGTCCAGCATCTGCAGGGGAAGCAGGCGTAAGCGCGGGCCTAGGTGAGTCCGCGGTGCCCTGCTGGCAGCGGGGTCATGTCCTCGGCCACTGGCGATTCGAGCCACTGCCAGCCCTTAATGTGCGGGCCTCCTATGTCTGCGCTGCCTCCCTTATGTGGAACCTCGGCCGGCAGGATGGAGCCCTGTCCGCAGCCCACCTCCCCAGGGGCGGGCCCAGGTTCTCTCACCTGCAGACGGGTCCCACCACCGCCGGGACCCCCCAGCCCCGCACACCCGCCCAGCGTGCGTGCGTTCGGAAGCCACGGCATGGACCCCGGACCCTGAGGCCGCGCCTGAAGGGTGTGAGGTCAGCGAAGGCCAGCGCTCTGGGGAGGCATCCCTGCAAGCACCGTGCGGACCCGCAGGAGCCAGCTCTCCAGGGCGGCCACACGGGGCGTGGGGGAGGGGCTGCACACCGGGCGGGCCCAGGGGTACGGGCCCCCACCCGGACGCGTGAGGAGACGCAGGAGCCTGCGGGGTCCCTGTCCGCGCAGCCAGCCTCCCGGCTACACCCTGGAGCTGAGGCCCCAGCACACGCCGCCTCCCGTCCAAAGGCCTTTTCCCAGATGCTGTCGCCGATGGGAAAGCCTGCGCCTCCTGCCTCCGCTGGCTTATGCCCCGCAGGCAGGCTCAGCTCCGTCAGCCCCCAAGGGGGTGAGACCCCGGCAGTGAGGGGGGCAGGGAGCCGTCTACCTGCCACCACGCGGGCGCCACCACGCGGGCGCCCCCACACGCTGCCCCAGGGCCACCCCTCCCCGTGCACCACGGCCGCCTAACTGGGCTCGGATGGGGGTTCGGCCGCTCGGAGCCTGGGGCCCACGCTGCCCACCAAGGAGAGAGGGTGGCGCCGGAAGGGGCACACGGAGCGCCTGGCCCCAGGACACCGCCGGGCACGGCCAGCCGCCCCTCCGCCCTCGCCGCCGCGTCCCCAGCGGTCCTCTCGCTCTGATTTGTATTTCCACTGCCACTTCCTCCTCCTCACACTGTTCCACTCCGTCCCCACTGCGGAAGTGGGGCCCCAGGTCCCCGCCTGGGCCCAGGAGAAGGGGTGCCACCAGGGGGCGCTGTGAGCCCAGAGCTGCCAGCCACGCGCACCTGGGCTCAGGTGCCCGGCGTTCGAACACGCGAGGAAAGGGCGCCGCTGTCATCCGCACATCGCGGCTCTTTCCTCCAGGTTGGCTGACCAAGGAAGACCACCGTGACAGAGCCCCACTCCTGGGACGCTGCCCTGAAAGGCCGCACGGGTCCGGCCCCCTTGCCTCGCGTTCCAGGAGAAACGAATTCTCTCCAAGGACACAGGGTCCACGCCACCACTTCTCTACACAGGCATTCCCCTCCAGGGGCAGCAGACGGAACCACGCCAGCAGCCCCCGCCAGGTCCTGCGCCCCCAGAGGGGGACGACGTGCAGCTCTTGCAGCCTTTATCAGCTACAAAGTTTATCAGCTGGAGAAACTGTGACAAAACTTACCAGCATGAGAAATTGTTACAAAATCTGCCAGCATGAGAAAATGTTACAAAATAGGACCAAAAAACCAAAACACCAAAAGGAAGAGGTGGGGCACAGGGTGCCTCCCAGCCCCGTGAAAACCCGCAGGAGAGGAGGCCAGAGTGGGGGGCAGGGGGGCGAACACGCCAAGGGGACACTGGCTGAGCCGCCAGCCCTTACAGAGCCGTCCCCAGTGAGGATGGGCGAAACAGGCAACGAGGGACGAAGGGACCGGGGCAGAGCCCGCTGTGCCGGCAGCAGTCCTCCAGGAGGGCATGGACGAGGGGCAGCTGGATCCGCGGGCCCTAGGGTGCTGAGCGTGACCCTGAGCCAAGCTGGGGGAGCGGCACCAGAGAAGCCGCCAGGCTGGAGGCGGCTGACATCCCTGGACCTTCCCCACGGCTCACCTGGCAGGAAACGGGGCCGCGTGGGCTGGGGAGAACGGGAGTCTGGGAGGAAGCACACAGGAGGCAGGAGGGCACAGGCCCTCGCGCGTGTGGACGGCGGGAGGAGGAGCCGTCATCAAGAACCGAACCGAACCTGCGGCTGCGCGACCGCAGGCTCCCAGCCTCCAGGAGTGTGAGAAAGAACTGTCTGCTGTTCAGGCGCCCTGCGCCCCCTGCCCCCCTCCAGCCGCGGAGGAGCCCACGGGGGCAACAGACAGTGCCCAGGACTAAAGACGCCCAAGCAGCAGCCCCTTGGTTTAGCCATGAGAGGGGCGAGAGGGTGCTGCTGGGAAGCGGGAACAGCACTCCCGATTTTCCACACCCGTGCGCTGCCTGACGGGTGTGCGGGTGAGGTTTTGGCGCATGGAGCATCTAACCAAGGAATGAGAGAGGTGCCAGCAGGGGGACCTGGCTGCCTCTGGGCCACCACCCAGCAAAGGGGGCCAGCCCCACCCTCCCAGGGCTGCCCAAGGGCTGGGGGGAGGAGACAGCGCCCCCTCCCGCGCCTGGGGAGGACGTGCTTTCATAACAACTGCCTGAAGGATCAGTTAAGGGAGGCTCGGAGTCCACAAGCCGGTTTCAGTGGGGGGACAGATCTAGTTCTTGAAAATGGCCAGTGTACCTTCCTTACCAAACCAGCCCACGGTCTTGATGACAACGAGTTCTGGATCTGAGCGAGCCTAGCGCCCCCCCTCCCCGCCCCCACCGACGAGATGGCCCTCCTCTACCCCCGCGCCCCCACCCCAGCCCCGCGCCCCTGTGCCTGGACCAGGGGGCAGCGCTGGCTGGGTTCCTACCCCTGCCCCGGCTCTGCGACCCTGGGCGTGGCAGCTGCCCTCGCCGGTCTCACTGCCCTACTCCCGGCCCACGTGGCGGGCGCCCCAGGTGCCCACCTGCCTGTCAGCTCCGTCCTGTTCCCGTGGAGCTGGTCTCTCCCTGGTGCGGGAGGGACAGAAGGGCAAGACGCCATGCTCATCCCCCCAGAGAGAAAACTGGTCAAGAGCCCAAAACAAACAGTGACAACGAAACTTAAGTTTATTAAGCAACTGCCTGTGCCAAGCAGCGAGCGGGCACCTGCAAGCCAGCCAAGGGCCGGCGCCCCGGGCCCCTCGGAAGGGCCAGGCCCGGTCTCGCGGTCCGGGGGCGACCGCGGCAGGACTCCCTGGTCCCAGACCCGCGGAGAGCCGCGCGGGGCAGGCGCTGGGTCCGAGGGCCACAGGGCTTCGCTGCGACATTGCCGTCTCAACCTCAGAGTTCCCTGTGGTTGCCCCCAACGCGCAGTCCCGCCTGCACCTCAGCCGGCAGTAGTGTGGGTCACCACCAGCTGAACCACCTGAGCCCCCTACAGCCACAGCCGCTGACCGGCGGGCACCCAGCTTCGCCCTGCCTCCGCTGCCTTATCCATGAAATGAGGGCGGCAGGATCTACCACGGGGAGTGAAATGAGTTAATATCCGCAAAGCCTTCGGAACAGCGCCGGGTAGGCAGTAAGCACCACGTAAGTGCTTAACAAATAAAAAAGCCCCGCTTTTAAGTCTGTGTTGCTGCTGCAAAGACTAGTCTCTCTGCTGCGCAGAGTCGACTGAGGCTCCTCGTTTGGGAGACCAGCCTCGGCAAAGGCGCAGACGAGGCCCACAAGGTCCCAGGGCTGCGGTCTGGGCGCCGCGGAGTCCTGTCGCGGAGTCCTGTCGGGATGGGAGAGGCCCTTGGGAACCAAGCAGCCCGGCTGTTAACCCCCCGAATTCCGAACTTAGAAATCAACAAACCCACCAAAGACATCGAGAAAATTCAATCCGAAAGACTAGCATCGTTTTTTCTTCTGAATTTGCCTTCTAAAGAAAACACCAAAAAATTTTAAGTCTCAACTTAAAAGCTTAAGGATTTTGTTAAAGGTGCCCCCAACTCCCTGTAAACGTGCTCCCTGGAAAACCACAAGGCCGAACGCAGACACGCGGGGAACGGCCGTGAAACGAGTCCTGTAAGTTAGGCGAGGAGCCCGGCCCAGGTGTCACGTTGGAAAACAATTTGAGAAGCGCGGAAGGGCGGCGAGGCTGGGGCAGTGCGGGGACCCCGAGGGGCAGCGCGCTCCCCAGAGGGCCGCGGGGGAGCCGCAGCCGCGTCCCACACTCGGGACGCGCCCCTTTGTGCCTCGGAGCGCCAATACCTTGCTGAGAGGCGAGCGCGGCCGGCTGTCCGGCCGGGTCCCTGTGGCCCCCGCTACCCGTCCACTCGCCAAGCTCTGCGCTGAGGCCAGGGGCCGCCCTCAGGGTTGCGCCACTGACTTAGCCAGCCAGTTGGGTCCCCCCTGCGCCTGTCGTGGCCCGGCTCTTATCAGTTGGGCCAAGGCGCCCACTCCGCAGACACCACCCCAAGGGCTCCGTCTCGAGGGCGCCCGATCACGCCGCTCTGCGCTCGTCCGTGGCGCAGGGTACCCGAAGGCGGCGGGTCCCCACTGCGCCCGGCTTGGCCCACGGACACCACCTCGGGACACCATCGCGAGGGCGCGCAGCCCCGCCGCCCTGCGTTCCGGCCCGCGATCCCTGCGCACCCCGACCCCGAAGGCGGCAGGTCCATTGCGCCCACCCTGGCCGCGGACACGACCCCTCGGACACTATCCCGAGGGCGCCCCGCACCGGCGACCCTGCCCGCAGCCCCCGCCGCACTCGGCGCAGGCGGGCGGCAGTGCGCTCACGGGCCCCGCGGGGTCACGGTCGTCGGCTGCGCCCCGGCTTTGTTCGCGCCCCGCGCCCGCCGGCTGCCCGCGCCCCGGCCCCGCGCGCGCCCGCCCGCACCCCGCGCCGCCCCTGGCCTGCGGGCCCCCGCCCACCTTCTGGATGGTTTGCTGCGTGACCTCCCCTTTGCCTCTCGGCCGGGCGGACGCGAAGGCCACCGACATGGTCCCGGCGCGGGCTCAGCCCGAGATCATCGGGGTACCTTCTCCCGCTGCGCTTCGCCGCCTGAGGTGTTCATTCTCCGCAGTCGCTGGGGGGCGGGGGCGCGGGGGGGTGCCGCCTTGGGCTCGTCCGCCCCGCCGCAGTCGCCGCACTGCCCCCAAGCCCACCTCCGCGCCGCCGCGCACGCCGCCCGTTCCCGAGGTCCCGCCCCGCTCGTCGCCCCCCGGCGGTCGCCCCGCGCCCCGCACCGGACCCGCCGCGGACGCACCGTCCCCCGCGCCTGGCTCTCGGTGGTTCGCCCCGACCCCGCCCCGGCGCGCGCACGTCCGCCGGACGCTGCCGACGCTACCCGACGCCGCCTGAGGCCTGCAGCGCAGTGGGCGGTGCCGGGAACCTCGGTCCGTGCGGTGGTGAGTGTGCGCTTTTCCCCGGCCTTACCGCGCCGCTCGCCGGCATGAGCTACGACCGCGCCATCACCGTTTTCTCGCCCGACGGCCACCTCTTCCAAGTAGAGTACGCGCAGGAGGCCGTGAAGAAGGGCTCGACAGCGGTAAGCGGTGAACGCTGCGCCCAGGCCGGGGCAAGGGCGGCCGGAAGCGAGCGGGCCTAGGGGCGCCGCTGGAGTGTGGGTGGCGCGGGGATCCGGCCGGGGCTCTGGCCAGGGGAGCAGGGGAGGGCCCACGACTTGAGGAGCGCCTAGGATCCTGCGAGGTCCCGCCCGGCTGCTCTTTGGGGGCGCGGAGAGGCCCCGGGTTGGGGGGGGTGGCGGCCGCGGATCGATAGGGTCGGCCGGGGCGGTCGTGGCCCCGGCGCGGCTCCGGACAGTGGAGGGTCTGCAGGAACCGCGTCTCTCTCGGTCCTGGACGCCTGGAGCGCGGCATCTGCAGCCGGGCGGGTGGGGCCCGGGCGCGCGTCCCGCCCTGAGCTTCAGCCAGGTGGCGGTGCTGGCAGTCTCCTCTTTGTAGTCGGATGCTTTCTGTCCGACATTTAATGTCGGATACCTTTCGGAATTAGCACCTTGGCGTTAGTTGGACGCCGAGGAGCCGTGGCGCTGGTGTTGCAGAAGGAAGTGGGAAGGGGCACGTTGTGCACGGTGGGCCGGGGAGCCGGCGGGAGAGGCCGGTTGGACGGGACTGCTCTCCCAACATTGGATTGTCACCAAGGGCAGTTGAGGTGGAGGTTTGCTGGTGACCGAAGAATGTTGTGCAGACTAGCGAATTGGGTGTGAGTGGCGAGCTTCCCAGTGCCACCTTCCTGTCCCCTCTTAGTAGCGCGGAGCGGGTCGGCGCGCCTGGGCGAAGACGCCATCTTGGCGGCCGCTCCGAGGCCCCGCAACGGGCTGGGGCGCCTGCTCTGGGAATGTTGAGCAAGCAGGTGACTTAGGTGAAGTGCGCCCGGACCGGTCCCCGTTAGGGACTTCCCCACGAGAGAGAGCGCTGCTGTGGAGGTGCAGGTGGGCTTCCAGAGCAAAGGCGGAGCGGGGGCGGGTCTTGCTCTGAGCTGTGTGCGGTTCCACTGACCCCCCCCCCAACAAGGAGCCCCCCGCCCCCGAGGCGGGCAGTGCGCGGATCCACTGTCCTGTTGGCTTCTGAGCGCATTCCTCCTGTTTTGACCACCGCTTGAAATGTAAATCCTGGGGCGTCTTGGAGACACCTGTCAGTTTGCTTATCCGTCAGTTTCCCTTCTGTCACCTGGTATTTCAGAGGTTTGAGCGCCCGGCAAAGGAAGCACACACAATTCTGTGAATTTTGGTGTTTTTGATCCCTGAGTATCTTTTGAAAGTTAGGCCCAAAAACCCACGGTGTGGCCCACCTCAGCTCCAAGAGGACCAGTGAGGAGGCCACGGGCCCCTCCCCTCGTGCAACCTCACCCCCGCCTTTTGCTGAACCTCCCCCCTCTCTGGGCCCCTCCCTGGGGAACCAGGAAGCCTGGGGACACGGTGGGTGAGGAAGAGCCGGGAATCACACCCTGTAGACCAGCGCTCCCCCCACACGGACATTTGGCAACCTGTGCAGCTGGGGCTCCTGGCTGGCGGGAGCAGACACGGCAGCCGACCCACGGCCCCCAGGCCGAGGAGCCCTGCTTTCCGCGGATGGGCCCGTCTGTGTCTGCGCCCGCGCCTGCCTGGCGGCAGCGACTGACATCTCTGTGTTTTTCACGTCCCCTCCTCCCCTGTCCCGTGTCAGCCGTGAACACAGCGTTGCCCTCCCGGGAGCAGGTGATGCAGGTGTCCATCCCCACAGCTGCGCATGGCGGCCGGGGGGGGGGGGCGGCGCGGGGCGGGCGGGCACAGCCGCAGAATCGCAGCTTTCAGGACACCCGGGTTTCGTGAACGCCAGGGTCTCGGGCTGCCAGGCCGCACGCGGGACTCCGACTCTGTGGGTTGGAGGGACACAGGTGCAGGCTGATGACAGGGCCGTGGCTCATCGGGGGTGTCGTCACTGAAGCTACGACGTGCCGGCATCAGTGGGGCGCGACGCTTGGCCGCGGGCCCGTTGGGCCCCCCGGGGCGCTCGGCCGCAGGCTGGCCCGCGCCATGGCCGGGGCCGGCCCTGAGGTGCTGTGCCGATGGTTCTCGCAGGTCGGCGTCCGAGGGAAAGACATCGTCGTCCTCGGCGTGGAGAAGAAGTCGGTGGCCAAGCTCCAAGATGAGAGGACGGTGCGGAAGATCTGCGCCCTGGACGACAACGTCTGCATGGCCTTTGCGGGTGCGGCTGCGGCCGGGGCTGCGGGTGGCGTGCGCGCCGGGCGAGCGGCGGCATCCTGGTGGGGGCTGCAGGGGGCACTGCCCGGACGCGGACACTGTAGTCACCTCCACAGTCATCAGCACGTCCTGGTCGTCACTGTGGTCTAAAGAGAGGGCCGGCTTCCCACGGCTACTGCGCCTGCGCCGTGGGGCCCGCGGGCACAGGTCTCAACTCTGCTCTCTTGGGGTCCAGTTTGGGGGCGCCCAAGTCTCCTGCACTGACCCGGGGCCACCCTGCCCGGGTCCGCAGGGCCCGACACACACCGTCCTCGGTGCCCCCGGGCGGTTCACGGAGGCCGACCAGCCCCGCCTGGTCCGTCTGGGTCGGCGCCTCGGATGGACCCAGTGCAGGGCCGTAGGGGACCCATGCTGTCTGCTCTTGTGACCTGTGTCTCCGAGCAAGCGCGGCCGACACAGTGATGTTGTCTGCTTTCACCGTAGGCCTCACTGCCGACGCGAGGATCGTCATCAACAGGGCCCGGGTGGAGTGCCAGAGCCACCGGCTGACGGTGGAGGACCCGGTCACCGTGGAGTACATCACCCGCTACATCGCCAGCCTGAAGCAGGTGGGCCCTGGAGGGTGCCTGCTGCGTGGGGCGGGCACGCGCCCTTCCCAGGAGTCGAGGCCTGCGCGCGTCCCACGCCCTTTCCTTGTGCGTGTGTGCTCTCACTGGCCCAGGCTGCTGGGTCATCCTCGTTGACGGGCACAGGGCACTGCAAGTGCCATTCGGAGAAAGTGGGCCGTCTTTAGAACCAGGTGTTCCCACGCCTCCGCGTGGCCTGGGCTGTGCGCTCCACGGGGTGGGCCAGGCCGGGCGCACGCGTGGCACGGCTGTCTCAGGGTGGGCGTGGGACGCGGCAGGGACGCTGATGGCGCTCGCCTGTTGCGCTCGTCCCTGGAACTGGAGTGACCTGAAGCGGGGCCTGGGGGTGTCCTTGCTCCTCACTAAGCGCAGCTGGGGCGTCGGTGGGCTCTGGGCCCGCCGTGCAGAGACGGCACAGCGACCTGTCCCCTTTCCCGCCAGCGCTACACGCAGAGCAACGGGCGCCGGCCGTTCGGCATCTCCGCCCTCATTGTGGGTTTCGACTTCGATGGCACCCCCAGACTCTACCAGACGGACCCATCGGGCACGTACCACGCCTGGAAGGTGAGGCCCCGGGGGTGGCGCCTTCTGCGCGTACGTTGGCCTCGTGCTACGAGGTGCGCACACAGCCTGCTCGTCCCACGATGCTGCCACTTACGCGGGAGGGAGGGAGTCATGCGGCGGTGCTGGTTGTAAGAAAGGGTCAACGAGCTGCGCGGACACATGGCTTATGGTGAAAGGGCATTGCGTCTCTCCGCAAGGAAGGAGCCTCTGTCAACGGGGAAGTAGCGTGTTGCTGGGGAGAATTGGTTCGCTCCAAATAGCCCCGAGGCAGGCTCGGGGGGAGGCCTGGGGCCCAGCCCACCGCTCAGCCCAGCGCAAGGACAGGGCTGCAGGTCTGGGTGGCGGCCACAGCGTTAGGCTGGCTCTGGATTGCCCTGTTCTTTGCCATGGAACACACGTCTCTTTCAGGCCAATGCCATAGGCCGGGGTGCCAAGTCCGTGCGTGAATTCCTGGAGAAGAATTATACTGACGAGGCCATCGAAACGGACGACCTGACCATCAAGCTGGTCATCAAGGCCCTTCTGGAAGTAAGTCTGCCTCTGGAATTGGGGTGAACCGGCGAGGCGCCTACGTTGGGGCGGTGGCCCTTGGGCTGGGTGGCCGGGACGGAGGCCGCGGGGGCTCGCTCCGCTCCAGCAGGCCCCGCACACAGCCGGTGCGGTTTGGGCTCAGCTCACAGCTGGCGCGCGGCCTCCGAGGCCACAGCTGCTGTGAGAGCCGAAACTAGTATGGCTGAGCCCCTGCTGGGGGCCCGGGGAGGGGGCGCGGGCAGGCGTGGCCGGGCTTTCTAGAGACCTGGGTGATGTTGGAGGGAGAAGCCCAAGGCAGGGGGGCTGGATGGATGCCTGGGCCCACTGTGCTGAAGGCGGCCTGCAGGCGGGGGCGCAGAGGCTGCAGGGCCTGGGACTTGAGTGTGTCCGCCTGGACCCGAGGGCGGCAGGGCGGGGAGCTTGCTGGTTTGGTCCTGGGGTCGCTGAGACTGTCCGAGGCTCTTCTCTCACGCCTACCCCTCCCTCCCCAGGTGGTTCAGTCAGGAGGCAAAAACATCGAGCTGGCTGTCATGAGGCGCGACCAGCCGCTCAAGGTAAAGGCCCGGCGTCTTGCCTGTAGCAGTGCACTCCCAGGACCCGCGAGGGGGGCGCCGGCTCCAGTCGTGGTGTGGCCTTGGCACTGGGCGGCGCCCCACAACCAGGGCGGGGGGATGGGGAGCGGAAGCGAGCGCCTGGCGCTGATCCCCGTGGTCCCAGGTGGTCCTCGCGTGCCTCCCCGCACGCGGACAGGCCGGTGGCAGCTGTGCGGGCGGCTCCCGTGGCGCTGGGATGCCCGGCCCAGAGCCCAGCGGCACCTGGCTCTGCCGCGCTGCGGGCGCCCCTCCCCCAGGGCTCACCAGAAACTCTCTCTGGTAGATTTTAAATCCTGAAGAAATTGAGAAATACGTTGCTGAAATTGAAAAAGAAAAGGAAGAAAACGAGAAAAAGAAACAAAAGAAAGCATCATGATGGATTAAAATGATCTTGCTGGAGTGATTTTTAAATTCAAATCACGGGCGACTCTCCGGACGACGGGGCAGCGTTTCCATTCTGTTCCTCCGTGCAGCCAAGCGTCTACAATAAACTGCGTTTTTTACCCTCGTCTTCCTAGCAGATCGTACATGCCCTGGGCGGACCTGACCTGCCGCAGCTCCCGGCAGCGGTCTCAGCCCACCCCCCCCCCCACCCACGGGAGTGCGCCTGGGGGACGGAGCTGTGGGGGCGGGGCCATGGGCGGGCCTTGGGGCCCCGGGCACTCCTGATCTGGGTGGAAAGCTCATTTCCCTCCTGAGGGCTTCCAAACAGTCTGTTTTTTGGGCCTTGCTCGAGCTCCTCAGCACAAGGGCAAGGTCACGAGCAGAAGAGCACTCGGTGTAAGTGTTTGGCCCTGGCCTTGGCCGAGGGGCAGCTGTTGTTTCTGAACCAGCCTTGTATGTCTGGTTTCAGAGGATTGTCTTAGCGTCTCCGGTTCCCTGCGCCCTGCCCGCTCCGAGGCCTGCGGGGCTGCTGTTCCACCTGCTTCGCTCTTTGGCCAGCAGCAGAGTCACTGCTGAGCCACAGAAGCCCCCGTGAAAAGCCAGCTGCACTGCCTACACAGCCTTGCGGCTCCGCCCCACAGCGGCCCTGCCGCCAGCCCTGGCGGCAGGTGAGTGGCTCTGGGGGCTCTGCCCTCAGGACCCCAGGACCCACTTTCTGCGTAGCCCATGCTCCCTGACCCCGTGCCCCTGCCTCCTGAAGGGCAGCCAGGAGGCCCAATAGCTCAGCAGGGAGCAGGCAGCTGCCCCACGGGCAGTCCCAGGTGACTTCCACTTGTCTAGCAGAGAAAATGCCTGGATTCCAACTGCTGCATCACATGTATACAGAACGCGTGCATTTTTCCACGTACAACGTGCAGCATCTGCCCCGATTTTTTGAAGAATGAGGATATGCATTGTACACGGGTGCAATGATGGGCATAATCACCCTCTGTGTGCTGTGCACAAAAACCTGGGTCTGCATTATACACCCAGCAAAATAAGGCACTTTCAGCCTTGTGCTCGGCTGCCCAAATCCAGCATGTACATACGGGACCTCTGTATTGGTCAAGGACGCCAGGAGCTTAAAAACATGGAAGGCAGCCAACAATCTGTCGCGTTCGCGAGGCCAGGCCCAGGTGCTGGAGGCCTGCTGCCTGGGGGGCCGGGCAGGCACCGAGGGGGACACCGTTGACTGACAGGCCCCGGTCCTGGGCAGCGGCTTCACAAGTCACCCCGAAACCTGCTCCAGTGGAGGGGATGCCGGGAGCCTGAAAGCAGCTTTTCTGTGTGGTCCCAGGGCCCCGTCCTGGGACAGGATCTGAGGCTGAGATCGGGCAGGGGGCGCCATGGCGACCAGGTTCTGCCTGGACCAGCCAGGCCGAGCATCAGTGGACCGAACCCGGCCAGGCGGGGCTGGCTCACACCGGCGTGCAGACAGGATGGGGGTCAGGCAGAGCCCAACAGGACCATTTACTTTCAAAGCAGAGAAGAGAGTCCTAAAGTCTGCGTGTTTATTTTAATTACAATTTACATTACTCCCAACAGAGCTGCCCCATTGCTATGTTCTAACTCTCAGCCGTTAGGTCCTACAAAAATAAACCCAAGCTTTTACAGTAACGTAATACAGAACCAAAATCCTCAGAGCTACCTGGGGGTCAGTGACCAGGTGCTCCGCTGACCGCGACGCCCTGCCCCAGGGGGGCGCATGCTTGTACCAAGGTGCCCACTTGCTCATGCGACAGTTTATAGCCCACCTCCCTCCACCCGCCTACGAAAAGAAAACTATTTACAGCTCAGAGGAATGTGCTCTCGGTCAGCGGGGCTCACAGAAAAGACAGGCTGGTTTCCAAGTGGAGGAGATGCTGGCGCTGGCCGGAGCCAAGCCCCACACAGCCGGGTCAGGGGCTGGCCGGGCGGAGGACGGGGACGCCACCCAAACCTGATGCCCGTGGAGCCAGGCTCCGAGCAACACAGCCCCCAGCCCGGTGGGTGCCCCCCAGTCCTGCCTCCAGCACCCCTCCAGCCTCCGGCAGTCTGCGCACCCACACACCATGATCTGCGGGACCCTCGCCCTGCCCGGGCCCGGCTGGCCCTGCGCACCCCTGGGCTGGCCCTGCCTGCCTCCTGAAGCCCCACCGGTGGCAGTGCAGGTGCCAGGCCAGCAGCACCAGGGCCAGCGGGGCAGCAGAATGCGCCTGGCTGCCACGCAGCCACAGGAGATTTGGTTCCACTTTTAAAGTCAAAGTGAAGATCGAGCTTTCGCTCTAGAAATTTTTTTCAAAAGACCACAACCGTAGTTGAGACTGCAGAACTGAAGAGATCCCGAGACCCCAGGGGTCCCCAAAACTCCCCGAAAACAAGCAGAACCGTGCCCAGGTTGCGGGACGACCAAAACAAAAGTAGTAACAGCGACCCAACATCTGTCTCCCGTCGGTGCAGCGTCCTCGCCCCGCTTCTGTCTGCCGCTGCTTTGGCCAGAGCCTGCAAGAAGGGAGGTGACACCACATGACGCACCGCACAGCCTCCCGCCCGGCCGGGCCTGGGCCGCCCGACCTGCCCTCCACCCGGCACAGGAGTCCTGTCCGTGTGCACGGCACCCAGACCCTACGGGCACATGTCGCCTGGGACCTGTCAAAGAGGCAGGACCACCTGCACCGAGACCCTGGCTTCTCCCCAGCCCTCCAGCTGGCCCCATGCGAGTAACAAGCCCCCGCCCCTGCACAGGAGCCCACTCCCACAACGCTGGGGCCCCGGGAACATGGTGGCGACGCGGAGGGTCAGGGCCCTCGGCGCTAAATATTTCCAAAGAGGCTCCCTGCCTGGGCACCCCCAACCCCACACCCTCCCTCAGTAGACATCCCCAACGTACCTCCGGCCGCCTCCTTACACCCGGCCGGTGCCAGCTCTGTGGGAAGTCGGGTTGCGCCGCGCGGGGCCGCTGCCCCTGCCCCCTCGCAGTCCGCCCCGGAACCCGCGGCCACGAAGAAACCGCCCTGACACCCCGAAGGTCTCCGTGTTGAGCTTCCTCTCCTCGGCCCACGTGGTCCGCCTGGAACTGAGCCGGACAAGGGCGTGACCCTGATGGTAGGGCGCCCACCCCCGCTTTCCGAACCCCGGAAGGACGGACAGGCGGCCACCGTGCTCCCCGAGCCCTCCGAGGGGTGACCTAGCCAGCGCCCCGCCGGTTCCTCGGTGGGCCAGGCCTGCTGAACAGAACCCACGCTGCGGTCACTCAAGGTGCACTCGTGACATGCGTGCCGGGCCCCTGAAATCGCCAAGACTGCAGCAGGTCGTGACCCTCCCCAACGGATCACTATGAGGGGCTGAGCTAGACAGGCAGGGCCCCCTGACACGAGCTTAAGCTCGGCCCCAGCAGCCACCGTGCTCCCCGAGCACCCCCGGCGAGGACCCGTGCCCTCCCCAGCCTCCCTTAAGGCGCAGCCGCTGTCCCTGCTGCCCTTTGAGGCCGACACCCCGCTCCCTTGCGTCCCGGCAGCAGGCCCGCGGGCCCCACCATCAGAGCCGTTCAGGAGCAGAGCCTCCACCGCGTCCCACCCCGGCTACGGGCCGGTGGCCACGTGGGGCTGCCCAGTGAAGGCCCACGGGCCACCAGGGCAGTGGGCTCCGATCCGGACTCCCCGCCTCTGACAGCTGCCTGCAGCACTGCAGGCAGGTCACCGGTCACCCGCCTGTGCCCCTGCGCCCCACCCCCACCCTCATGGCCCGGAGGCCCAGCCCGCCCCTCTCGCTCTCGCCGCCTGCCACAACCCCCCGCCCGCCTGGCCGCACCCCCGGTTCTCCCCACACTTGCATCTCACGTCTGTGTACCCCCCTCGCCGCGTTCCCCATCAGAAACCCCACGTGCGGGCGGCCGTGGCCCTCCGGCAGGCTGCCCGCGTGCCCGCGTGCTCCGAGTGGGCCTGGCCCTCCATCTGCAGGATGGACAGACCGGAGCTTGACTAGCACACCCGCTCCGCACCCTCCAGTCAGTCTAGTTTGCTTGCATGGCAATGTCTGAGCCCCATCAGCTGGGTGCTACAAAGCAAGCCAAGACTGGGCCCCAGGCTGCAGCCATCGGGTGGAAGAGCACCCAGAACAGAGCCCTATGAACACCTCGGCAAGTGGCCTCTAGTGGCAAGAGGCCCAGGCTCCCAGGGCCAGCTGGGGTCCAGGAAGCCAATCCCCAGTCACCGGCGGGGAGGGGCTCCAGGCTAGCCCCCAGGAGAGTGAGGAGGGGGAGCAGCCGGGACGGAAGCAGGAGGACCTCCAGCAGACCCGCGGTGCCTGTGCCGCCCGTGCCAACGCCACTGGGGCCGATGCATCCGCCAGGGCGAAAACGCAAGCAGGACCCATAGAGATGGACCCTGAACGCGGCCCTCGAGAGTCGACTGCGATCGCCGAGGGTGGGCCCCAGGGCCCCGCGCCCACCCCACCTGGTCTTGAGCTCAGATGAGATGTTGTCAAAGAAGGACTTAGACTTGTCATAGTAGCAAGAGGGCCCCAGGTGGTCCTCCTCGGCAGGAGCCTCGTCGCTCGGGGTCACCACTGCTGGGTCCTTCTCCTCCCCCTTCTCCGCTCTGTCATCTGCACAGAGGAGGCGCACCCTAAGCCGCGGGAGCAAAGCCCCCGTCCCGCCGGCCGCAGCTGCCCAGGCGGGGTGGCCCACCCACCGGGCCCGCTTTGGTAACCCCTCGGACCGCGCAGCCCCCACGGCCCCCACGGCCCCCGCCCGCTGAGGCTGTCGTCCTTGGACCCGCTCCGCGGACACGCCTCAGGGGAACGGGGGCAACTTTCACATGAGGCCTCGGACCTTTGAAATTCAGTTTCTTCTTAAATTCCTTGTCCAGCTCCTCTCGGTTGAACTGGGCGTTCGCACTCTCAAAATCAAAGTCGCCCTCAAACTTGATCGTGTTCTCCTTGACATCCGTCGGGCGGCTCTGCCCTCTGGAGCGGTTCCTGGCTCGTCTGTTCCCTGAGAGGAGAAGTGACAGTCACGGCTGGGAGCCGTCGGCCGCCATCACTCGACGTCACTGAGTGAGAGACAGGCGACAGGGGACCGAGCACGCCAACGCCACGGGCCTGAGCCCGGGCGCCCGCGCCCCCAGGGCAGCGGGTGAGCAGTCAGAGAGGACCGGCCGGCCCCAGGGTCCAGGGAAGGCGGCGCTGGTACCTGATCTCCTCCTCTGGGGCCTCCTGTTCTCGTCGTTCACCTGCCCTGGTGTCTGCGCAGCAGCTGGCTGAACCACGTCTACGGCACAAGAGGGGACTGTGAGGCAGGCGCCTGCCAGGGCAGGCACTACCCCAGGGGACGTGTAGCAGGGGCCTGCCTGGAAACGCCCGTGGCGTTTGGGGGGGCACGGTGCCCTCCACAAGGCCCCCGAGCAGGGCGAGCAGGGAGAGCAGGGAGAGCAGGGGCGGGCGCCCCCGGGAGCGCGTGTTTTAGTACCGCTGGCGCTCTTGCCACCCGGTGGGGCCGGGCGCCCGTTGAGCTGCACCCCCACGGCGCCCTTGCTGCCAGGTACCAGCTTCTTGGCGTTCAGGCTATCGAGGGAGCCAGTCTGGACGGCCTGTTCCACCATGGGGCTCTTGCCGGTGGGGACTGACGGAAAGCCGGCTCCTGCGTCGGGGAGGAAAAGCAGGCTGGAAAAAACGGGGAGATGACTGCTCCCCACCCCCGTGGACACTCGCGTTCTGGCTGCAGGTCCGGTGGGGAGGAGCAACCACCCAGGGAGGATCCGCTCAACCCAGGCAAGGCGCGCAGCAGGACCCCTCCTCTGCGCGAGGCCCCTGCGGCCAGGCCGGCTCAGCCAGGGAGCGCCGAGCCCTGGCTCTGCGTCGGGGCACCAAAAGGAGAGACACCTGGCCACAAGCGATCACTCCCAGGCGGTTTAGAAACAGCCTTCCAGAAACCACCACGCTGTGGCCCCAAGGGGGCTTGGGGGTCCCAAGATGCTGGTGTATTCTTGGCCCGAGACCGTGTTTCTGCCAGTCCACGCCGAGCAAGAACCAGCCAGCCTGGGACTGTCCAGAAAACGCAGCGGTCAGCCACTGGAGCCAAAGGGGAGAACACTGCCGTTTCTGCGTAAGGCAGGACCAAAGCAGAAAGGACGAAACGACACGCGCCGACGACGGCACCCGGCCTGCGGCGCCCGAGAGGGACGGCTCGTCCTGAGGACGCGAAGGCTCTGGGGCTGCCCTGGGCGGCGGGGGGCACCGCCAGGCCCCGCACAGCAAGGGTCCTCGGAGCCACACGAGTACAGAAGAACACACCCTAATTGGCAGCAGCTGCCTCCCCGCCTTGCCCAGTCCTGGCATGTGGTGCCAGAGCACAGGGGTCGGGGACAGAGAAGACCAGCCCTGACGAACCTCGGGCACCTGCCCGTGAGGGCAGCCCAGGGCGAGTGAAGGTCACACATTTTGCTGTGTTCCCCTGTGGGGCAGAAACCACAGAAATCCCTGTGACTAACCCCTCGTAACCAACGTGCCCCCAGACTGATTGGCACAGGGTCCCTACGCTGGGCACAGTCCGAGGCGCCCCCTGGGGCTGCCACCGCGCCCAGCACGGCCTCCCCGAGACAAGCGCCCAACTGCTCCGCACACACGGACCTGGACAGCGGGGGCAAGGACCCGGGGCGCCTGCTTTCTGTGGGCGGAGCAGCTACACTGTCCTGCCGCAGCGTGGCTTCCAGGTTCCTGAGAACAGCTGCACATGCAGAGTAACTTGGGATGAGGGAGAAAGCATGGCTCCTTGGCGGCCACAGAACACACGCAAAGCACGGACCAGCACTGCCCTGGACCACGTCTCCGCCACGGTGTGGGCGGAGCTCTGCCTCCGGTCACACGTGTGAACACCAGACCTCGGGCAACACAGGAAGAACTGCTGCCAGCTGAGGCCCAGCAACGCCCACCGGGCCGGCGCGCCCGCAGACCGGTGGTGCTGAGCAGCGGGGACACGCTGGTCATCAGGACACACTGCCCACCTGTCAACAGCTCAGGCTGGTCACCCAACTTTAAAGTGGCGTCATCCTCCGAGACCTCCCGAGCCCCTGATTCTGCCGGCTGAGGAACACACCGCGGGTCAAGGCGGCGCACGGGGGCCTCCCTGGCCGGAACGGCAGGCCCTCGGGAGACAGCGCCCTGCGCGGCGGGCACCGCGGTGGCTGCCCCAGCGCAGCCGGAACAGGCCCCAGGAGCAGCGCGCGCAGCGCTCCCTGGCTCTAACCCTCCTTCCCACAGGCACTACTAAGTCAGCACCACACGCTAAACCAGAGACACGGCTCAGCTGACCAGTGGGCTCGGCACACTCTGTGACGGCCACCGTCACTGCGGCATACGCTTTACCCCTCGCTCTCTGGACGGCGAGACAGCGTGCAGTTCTCCCCGACTGCCATACCCTTGGAAGCGAGCTGGTGTGGCTCTGAGGACATGTCAGGCTCTGACACAGGCTGTGGAGATGGAGAGGAGCTAGGGCTGGAGGCTGCGGCTGAGGCTGGAGGGCTTACCAGCTTCTCTAAAAGGAGAGAGAGGAGAGAAGAGCACAGAGAGAGGGCACAGGTGAGGGATGAGAAGCCCGTCCTGCGCCCGGCAGGCTTGGGAAGAGCCGAGCGTCCATCCCAGGACGCTGTGCTCGCACAAACCTAGCCGAGAACCTTGGGGAGCCGGCCACACCGGCGGCAGCAGTGACGACAGGACTTTCAGAGGCCAGGGCCCCCCGGAACCACCAGGGCCGGCCACACCCTATCGCTACAGCAGGACGAGGAGCCGAGGCCGCGAGCTCCGCGGGCCGCCAGCGTCGCAGAGCCATGGCCGGGCTGGCAGACCCTCGCTCTGTGTGTGGGGGAGTCTTACTCCAGGGCCATCCCACCTGAGGAAACAGATTTCTGAGCGAGGCGCCGATGGAGACCGGAAGGGGGTGGGGGTGGGTGCTGTGAGTGTTTTACGTTTACGGGCTTACAAACGGGTAGAAGTCACACACGCGGCAGTCACACCCGGCCGTCGGCTCCAGGTCTTCGAAGCAGAAGTGCCACGGCCTCCCCCCAACCCCTGCCAGACCGACATCCTCGCAAAGGTGGGTTTGGGGTGTCTGTTCCAAAACTCAGGCTCCATCTCCCTGCTCCCAGTGCCCAGCCACCGGGCGCCCAGCACCTGGCCTTTTACTGAGTCATGTAGCACGTGCGCCCCACAGGCTGAACATGACAAGAACGCGGTGTCCCCCCCGCAAGCTGAGGCCTCACTTCCTAGAGGTCAGAGCGTGGCAGCCTAGCAGAGAGAACGGGTTACTCACCGAGGCCCAAGGACGCTGCGTACTGCTGGCTGAGCAGGGAGCTGGCGGCCAGCTGGCTGTAGGGCGGCATCCCTCTGAAGGGGCTGTAAGGCACGTGTGGCTGGAAGGAGGAGCCCGAGCCCAGGGAAGACTGAGCAAGGGGACACACCAGTGAGATGGCGCCAGGCCCTCCTGTCGCCCTGCCTGGAGAACACCGTTCAGACAAAGGCGGCCACCCCTCTGTCAGCCACACAGACTGGGGTGGCTCCTGGGGGGGGGGTCCCTGCTGCTTTCTCTGCGCCCCCCCCCAGCCCCGCCTGTCCCGGTAAGTCTCAGGCGCGTTTCTCCCGACTCAAGCCTGGGGCTCCCCACCACCTGCAGTCAGGCGGCCACCCTTGGATCGGCCCTGCCCCCCACAGGGAGGAGAGCAGCTGTGGCCGGGGATGACTCTCGGCCCCCAGGCGCCCCTGGGGGCTCCTCCGCCCTGCACCCCCTGAGCCCCCCGCAGACGGGCTGGCCAGGACAACTTGTGTGGAAAGAAAACACTGACGCGGGCTCCCAGCCATCCCTGGGAAAACACACCCAGGACCAGTCCCTCAGGCGAGGTGAGCGCCCCCAGCACCGCAATTCATCCTCTGGGCAAAGTCGGGGAGGAGCCCGCAGTCCAGCCAGCGCCCGGCGCCACTCACACCAGCCCCTGGGGCTTTAGGCTGGTCCAACCCGGAACTGCGAGACAGGCAGATGCAATTCCCTGCACACACCTCCTCCGCCCCCGCATTCGACCCCCACACAGTCCCGCACACACACAGCCTGTCTCAGCCCACACGCGCACGTTACCGCGCGCCGTGACACAAGGCTTTCCACGGCAAGAGGAGCCTGGACAAATTCTGAACAGCTTTTCATTAAAAGGCCACTCCTCGACTTGAGTGCTCTGGCCAATCACGTGATTAGGAGCTCCACTTGGGCACCAGCTCCTCCGAGGCACCGCGACCCCACGGAGCAGAGCCGGCACTCACTTGGACGATGGCAGGGTCCTGAGGGAGCGTGTGCGGAGCTTTCGGAGGCTCGCACACGGTAATGTCTTTGATGTCACTTCCCCGGAAAATGATGTACTCGTAAATTTCCTCTCTCGGAGGAGCAGGCCTATCTGTGGGCCGGTCTTCAGTACCAAAGGACCTCACTTAGGAGCAGAGAAAAGACACGTCAGTGGCCGTCCCCAGTCGCGTGCCTTCCAGCAGCCCTCTGGCGGCGGCCACTGCCTGGGGCGCCTTCCGCAGCCCAGGGCCGGGCCGCCACATGTCCACTCCACCACCGCCTTCCAACTGCCGATCCCAAGACCCCCACTGGCAAAGCTCCAAAAAGTCCCGGGTCGCAGACGACGACAGGGAACGCTCCCGCTCCTGGCAGCCTCACGGAGCTGTGTCCCCAGGTGTGAGCACAGGCTCTGTGCTCGGCAGAACGGGGTCTGCCCTGCAGAGCCCCCTCACGTCCCCACCCGTGGGCGGAGAGCCCACCGGCTGCTGTCTGACCTCACAACACATACCCCGCAGGTTCCTCAGGAGAGGACTGAATAGATCGGCAGAGTCACCCTCCCCATTCTACCCAGCCAGCCTGGAAGGAGCCCTTGCAAAGACAATGGGGGCGCAGACCTTGACCCCCACCGCCGGCCTCTGTGCCTAGGTTTCTCGACCGGAGTTGTTTCTGGACCCCGGGCACAGGAGCCCAGCCGAGCCCCTCCTCTGCGGGCCCCTGAGGCAGCCTCTGTCTAGTCTGGGCACGGTCCCTGCCTGGACCGGGCTGCTTTGGGTCGCAGCTTCTCCACCTGGGACGTCAAGCCAAACGCAGTCAAGCACCCAGGGCAGGAGCGAGCGTGCACCTCGTGACAGGGAACCACCTCCTGGAGCAGTGGCCTCCCGGCCTGCCCGGGAAACTGAACACCGGGCTCTGAGTGGGGACAGGCCCCGAGGCCTGGGGCCGCCCGCTGCCTGAGGCGCGGGGCAGCGCGGCCTTGACCCCTAAAGGCCCAGGGGCGGGTTCTCCAGCCAAGAGACCCATCCCACGGCCTCTGCAGACCGGGCTGCCTTCGGCATTTCTCTGGAAGAGAGGCAAGAGAGGACACTCGCCATCTTCCCTGGAGAACGAAGACAAAGAAACTTCCAGGCCACCTCCTGCCTGCACAAGGCCAGGGAAGAGCCACAAGGCAGCCGCCTAGGAAGCCTCTGTGTGTCCCCCAGGGCGCACAGGGACGGACCTTGCCACTGAAGAGCAAACCCTCCGACTGAACGCGGGGCAGGGTCGACAGCGCTCCGAAAGGGGGCACCGGGCGGCCGAGGCGGCCGCCCGGCAGTAGGTCCCGCTCGGAGGCGGAATTAGTTCAGGCTCGAGGCCCTTGGGGCCTTAATAGGTTCCAGAAGGGCTCGCAGGAGCCGGCTCTTCGCCCCCGCGGCCTTATGGGGAGAACCCGGGAGACTCGGGCCCTCGCCCCGCCCCCGCGGGGACCAAGCTCCGGCGCCAGCTGCCCCTCCGGCAGGTGGGGAGGCTGCAGCCCAACGACCGACCCCCACCTGCAGAGGTGGGCTCCGCGCAGGAGGAGGGGCGGCGCCGCGGGAGCTGGACCCGCCCCACCTCCCCACCCTAGCGCCGGCTGGGCGGGCCGGCCGCGCACAATAACGCCGCAGCTGGGGGAGACTATTGTCCCGGCCAAGCCCCAGCGGGCGGGGTGGAGGCCGGTAGGGAGGGGAAAGGGGACCCCACGGAGGTGGGAGCAGGCGGGGGGCGCCCGAGGGGCGGGGGTGGGATACCCGGAGCACAAGGGCCTGAGAGGGGCGGTCTGGAAGTGTGGGCGAGGGGCGACCGGGAGTGAGGGCCTGCGGGGGACGCGTGGCCGGGGGGCGGAGGTCAGGAAGGCGACGCCGGGCCGGGGGCCTGCGGGGGGTCCCAGGGGTAGGGGTGGGGGTGGGGCCGAGCTGTTGGCGGGCGGGGTCGGGCGGTTGGGGCGGCCGCGGGGCCGCTACCTTTGGCGAGCGCCACGGTGGAGTTGTCCGTGTCGATAGTGTAGAGAATGCCCTCGTAGCGGATCTGCGCCTTGGAAATGAGGCTGATCTTGCTGCCCAGGTACGGGGTGCCCGACGAGCCGCTCATGGCGACGGCCGCCCGGCCGGGCCCGGCCCGCTCGCCTTCGCTCGGTCGCCTCGCCGTCCGCTCCGCCTGCGTACCTCCACACCGCTGCCCGAGGGGCCCGCGCGGGGACCAGCTAGTGAGTGGCGGCGCGCGGCCGGGGTCTCCGAGGGGAGCGCGGGGGAGGAGGGGCCGCAGCAGCCACATCCGGGGCCTCGCGCCGCCACGCCCCGCCCCTCACGCTCGCTGCCTATTGGCGCACTGCGCTGACCGCCCTTTAAATATGGCCGCGCCGACCGCCTGGGGGCAGTCCACGCCCAGCGCCTGCGTAGCGCGCCCCGCCCGCCCGACAGGCTTTCCCCCACTCTCCCCCTCCCACTTAGGTCGGCTCCCGGCGGGCCCCGCGCTGGGTGGGAGCACGGGACCAGGCGGGCGGGTCGGGGGGAGGGGTGGGAATCGAGCGTCGCGGAATGCGCGTGCGCAGGGTGGGCGGGCAGGCAGGGACGGACGAACTGGGTAGGTAGGCGGGGTTGGGAAACGGGGGCGGGGCGGAGCGCGCGTGCGCTGGGCGGGGAAGGAGCTCTAGGCCCCGCCTGCCGCGCGTGCCGGCTCCGCCCGGGCCCCGGCGCCCGAGCGTGTGGGCTGTTCCCGGCTGGCCTCTTGTTTTCCTTTTGCAGACTCGTGTTCGCACCCTAACACTCCCTGGGCCTGAAGGTCGACCAGCTGGGGCGCGTCGCGACACTCCCCTTCCCCAGCATCGGGGAGGCGGGGCGGGAGAGTTCCCTGTCCTGGGCGGTGAAGCGTGGGGATTCCCTGTCTTGGGGGATGAGACCGGGGTTGGGGGTCCTTGTCCTGTCGGAGGTGAAGCCGGGGTGGGGGTGGTCCCTACCCAGCGGCGCGAAGGCGGAGGCTCCTGTTCGGGGGGCGAAGTCGCAGTGGGGGGAAGTCCCTGTGTTGGGGGGTGAAGGCGAGGGCCCAGGTCCCTGCCCCCCGGGGTAAAGGCGGGGCGCCCTCCGCGCGGGGCGCAGGAGCAGCTGTGTGTAACGAGCCTTTCCGGCATGTCAGGCACTAAATAAAACGAGCTGAGTGCTTCTTCCCTTTAACCCTGCTCCTCCCCCAAACCTGCGCTGGCGTTCCCAGTTCTTAAAATAAATCCCTCTGCCACCAGGGCCTCAAAGCCCCGCCTGATCTGACCTGCCAGTCGCCTAGCCCGGCGCTCCCGACGCCGGGCCGCCCTCTGTGGGCTCAGACCCGTCTTCCCCGCCCAGCGCTCAGCTCCAGCAGTGACTGTGTGTGCGCCCTGCGCTTGCTTTTTGTCTGCCTCTCCCTCCACCGTGCACATCAGGTCAAGAACCACTGTTGATTCCTGGAAAAAAGCTCGGTGGGTGGTGACCAGTATTTTATAAAAATAAAACAGAGTAAGTTAGAAAATATCAGGGAACCTCCTGCACAGAGTGTTGTTTTATGAAGCAGTTATTTCACTGAATGCACAGTATTTAAGTGGGTGCTTGCTCAAGACGTGAAATGTGTTTCTTTCCACGAGTGCTAGACAGAAAAAAGGGGAGGCCACTTCAGAGAACTCACCCACCAAGCAACACAGGCGCGCCGACTCCCCTTTTCCCAGACAGTCCAGAGGAGCAGGCCCCCTGGTCTCACCTGCCCGGGCAACCTCCAGGAATAGAATGGTAATGGGTTTGAGAAAAGGGAGCATTAGAAAAGAAAATGGAAAGGTCTTCAAAGTTATCCGCTGAAATATACATGTGCATTCCAGAGTTGCTTCTTGGCTCCTGGAAAATTCTACAGGGAGAATGGGTGTAGCCCAGCCCCAGGAAGAGAGGCCAGTGCCCCGGGGCTCTCCCTTCCCCAGGCGCGTACCTGTCTGCAGTAGGTGCCCGCCCAGGTCCCTGGAGCACCCCATCCTCCTTGTCGCCCTTTCAGGTGCAGGACATGACATGCCCAAGCTCAAGGATTCCATGTCTCACACCTCCTGGGTCTGAGCCACGGCCTCTGTGTGTGTTGGGGCTGCATTCTTCCCCAACAGGAGCTGATTCTATCTTGGAAAAGGGAGTTGGACCCAGAACCCCCGGGCCAGGGTGGGGTGTACTTCCTGGACACCTCCCGGAGTTCATCAGGCCCTGGGCGTGAGTGTAGCTGGGGAGCTCCGGGAGGATGTCAGCCGCAGTGCAAACAGGTCGGCAGGACAGAGGCCCAGGGATGCCAGCCCTGCCGTTCGTTCCGGGGTCTCCCACCCAGAGCGGAGGGCGCTGGCGAACGGAGCTGGTGAACGGTCGGAAAGGGGAGCCCTTGTGCCACACACTAAACTGGACTCAGGAGCCAACTGATGCGGCCTGTGTTCATGGGACGGGGCCCACCTACCCGGCACCTCCGACAGCTGCTCACAGTGCCCACCCACTCGGCGATCCCCGAGCCCGAGACTCCTGCGCAGAGGGGTATAGAGAGGCAGGCTGAGAAGCTGGGAGACTTGGGCAGGTCAGGCTCCCTGCCTCACTCTCCATTTAGCGAGTGGAGATTACAGCTCCACTGCCTCTCTCTCTCGTGGATGTGAGGGTCCTGGGAGATATTGTCTGAGAAGGGCTCTGAGGGGGGCCGTGGCCCCTACATCAGAGGCCTGGCGTGCGGAGGACCCCAGAGGCAGCTGGCGAGGTCTTCACGGCAACCACGAGGCGCTTACTAAGTACCTGCTCTGTCGGGGGTGGGGAGGCGAAGCGACATCCAGTAAAAGCAGCTGTGAGTTTGTGGACCCGGGACTCTGCCCTGGGGGCCACCACCAGCCCTGCTGGGGTCACACGGCCAGGGCCCTGCAGCCAGTGAGGGGCACACATCACAGAAAACACTCCCGTGACTCTAACGGACAGCTTCAGAAAGAAGAATGCACAACCGTTGATTTCACAGGTATTGTTGCTCAGGGGGAGCAAAATGGAACAGGTGAGTTGATTCAAAGAAACATCCCTAACAGGTGGCCCACAGATGCCGCAGCGGTCAAGGCAGCGGTCTGAGGTGCAGGACTCAGCCAGTGAGGCCGGATCTGGCACTGGGAGGGGCGGGTGTAGGTGCTGGTTCCTTTTGTGAAAGTCCCTCCGGGGGAACACTCGTGACCGGAGCACTTTCACACCCGTGTTACCTTGGCGCCGGCTCTTCACGCTCTTCCTAAGGGGCTGGGACGGTGGGTCCCACTCTGCCAGCCCAGTGTGCCTGACCCCTCTCCAGTCCTGGGAGGCGGGAGGCTGCCCTTCGGAGGCCAGGAAACTGGCCAAGGACAGGCGCTCAGCGGGGTGCGGGGAGGCAGTGAATCAAGGGACTCCCTCCTTGCATCCTGTCCTCTCTCAACCCCTCGCAAAGGACACAGGATACGAGCTCCAAGGCTGGGGGGCGCCAGCCTGGCCGAGCCGCAGCCCCGGCCGAGAGTGGAGTCCTGTACACACAGTGGCGGTGGCGGAGACCAGGGGAGACGGCCCGGGCCTCCCAAAGCCCGTCCTCGCCGGGCAGTGCCCATCCGTCTCGGCGGAACCTGCCGGCTGAGCCTGGCAGCTGCGTGGGGGTGCGGCCCCTCTCCTCCGGGATGCGCCCAGCCATGGGGTGGCTTAACCCGTCACAAGCCTGGGGGCCTGGCCAGGGTGTGGGGACAGCTTCAGAGAAGCACCTGTTGTCTCGTGGGGGAGAGAAACCTGCGTTGCGTCCCCGGGGACGCGCCCCACCTGCACACTCAGCTGGTGCAGAGGCCGTGTCTGAGGGGCCCCCTCCCGGTGCCCACCCCCAGGGGCCCCGGGTTCCCAGCCAGGGCTGCCGCTGGCGAAGCTGCCAGGCTCAGCTAAGAGCTTGGCCTCCTTGGAAGGCCGCTGAGGCTCCAGCAGCTGGGTTTGAACTTGAGGTGAGGGCCCCTTAGACGCTGCTAATGAGGCCAGAGCCTCTCCTCTCGGTTTCCAATTGTTTGCTAATTGCCCTCCCCTTGTCATTATCATCTCCAAGTCATTGCCACTTAGTTAACAGCCGTCGGGGTCCACTGCAAAGGACCGAGGCAGCTCCTGTCACGACCCGGCCGCCCTCACCGCGGCCCCTCCACCAGCCCCTTCTTCCGAGTTGTCCCCAGGAGGGTGTCAGCCCCGGGGGGCCAGCCAGCCGGGCTGTATGTCCACCCCCCGCACCAGGGACAGGCCTCCTCACTGACGGGCACAAACCCATCCCCCCCCCCCCGGCCGCGGCGTCTTGGCTCCTCCTCCTCCTCCTCCTCCTCTCAGCTCCTCGGCCACCGGGAAGCAGGTGCCCCGAGGAGCGGGGGATGCGAAAGGTTTCTGGAGAAGTCGCACCTTCTGGAAAAGTAGGGAGCGGGGTGGGGGGGCGACCACTGACGGAGGTGGGCCAGCCCAGTGAGCATCTCCAGATCACACCGCCCGCTGCGGGGGTCCCCTGCTGGCGGGAACCGCTGCCCTTGTCCCACCTCCTTGCTCAGCAGTGGCTGGGGTCACCGCGGAGAGCGCGCCCTGGGCTTGGAGCTGGCCGCTGGAGCCGGCCAGGCCACGCGCCCCGTGCCGCTGGGCGGGCGCCCTCCCGTGCGGGGGTCGGCGCAGCGCTCCTGCACTGGTACAAGAGGCGGTCGGCACTTGTGGGGTCTGTCCCCTCAGGGGACTGGCCTGCCGTTGTCCCCAGGCCCGCTCTGACGAAGGCTGGCCTGAACCCCGTGCAGACTCTCCAGAGCAGGTGAGCCCCTGAGGGCGAGGGGTCCTGACACAGACGAGAGCGCCGCCCGCCCCCCCCCGCCCCCCGCCCCCCGCCCCTGCTGTTTGCCCCAGAGTCGACTTCTGGCCCAGCAACCCCGCCCCGAGGGAGGGGCCCCAAGAGAAGCGAGGACAAACGTCCCCACGAAACCTTGTGTGCGAATGTTCACGGCAGCTCTTTTCCACAACCGAAACGACCCCAGTGTCCCTGTGAAAATTCCCTGGGCTGTGCCCTCTTCAGTGTGGGTATTTTACTTTGCAAACAAGTTAGAAGGTGAAACACTGAGCGGTGCTTCTCTTTCTGTTATAAGAGAAGGGCACATGCGTGGAAGAAAATTTGGAAATTGCGGAAAACATGCGAAGGAAAAGGGAAGCCCTGACCAGCGCCCTGCCGGCTCTTCCTCGGCAGCCTTTTCCTAGGGGGCCAGAGCGGGGCCATGCTGGTCAGCAGCTGGGGGGAGCCGGTGGGAGCCGCCGGTTCTGCTTCTGGCCCATAAAACCCACTTGGTCCTGGTGGCCTGGGAGCTGGAGCCAGG